CACCGAACCGCGTCGTTAGTTTGATAAATTTGCAATATTTTGAATACATCACTTTCGCGCGCGTAACCATGGAAACGTTCCCAACTAATTAAGATGCACGAAGTGATTCTGTTATGTATTGTGTCATAGATTGCTATGACTCATCGCGACATGAATCGAAAATATTAAGATTAATGCACAAAAGAAATTGGAGTGTGAAATATTCAACTTTTGAATTTTCAACTTTCACCATTACCTTCCAAGTTTTCAGACACTGAGTGGGCGTAGCGTGTTTTTGTTCGGAAGCTATGGGTAATTCTTTATCGTTACGAAATCTCGGAATCCGTATCTTTGCATAAATAGGCGGTCAAGCAACGGTATTTTTCTTTAGCGATTCCATTTGGTGATGCCCTGATATAGGCATACAAAAGCACTAAAACGGTTTATATTTGTCAAGAAATTAAACGAACTTTATTTCTATTTTTATAATATTTTCAAACCAGTTTTAAATAGATAATAACAAGTATTTTTTTAACACAAAACTCAAATTCAGTCTTACCACAGACATAGTAACCAAATTTAGTAATAAACCCGTCACTTCAAAATTTGACATTGAAATCCTTATGCAAATTCTGAGTGTTTGAAATAAATATACCGTAATTGGCTTAATGTATAACAGGCCAATTCAATACCCCCAAAACTGCTTGATATACTTATTCCGATATACTTCAAAAATGGTCGAGTTCTCTATAATAATAATTTTCATTAACAATGACGTATTACACAATTATGACATCATTTAATAATCTATCCCTGTTGATAAACATTGTCATTTGACATTACATCACATTAATGAAACAAAATTCTTCGACGCGTTCTGCGGCGCAATTTTTGACTCAATTTTATGACATAATTTCGAACATAGGTCAAATCGTCTCCCGAAATTCCAGTAAAGCCCAGAATATCGAGTTATCGAATACCATTAACAATGACGTATTACACATTTATGACATCATTTAATAATCTATTCCTGTTAATAAACATTGTCATTTGACATTGCATCCCATCAATGAAATAAAATTCTTCGACGCGTTCTGCGGCGCAATTTTATGACATAATTTCGAACATCGGTTAAATCGGCTCCCGAAATTCCATAAGCCCAGAATATCATACTAATGTATTGATGCATCTATTTTTATAGCGTTTAAGTATGAATAAAGAGCAGGAGTGTTTCTAATTTGTTAGCAAGCCAGAACTCGCGGCAGGGCGACATCCTTTTTCTTGCGTGATTTACTATTTATAGTTATCCCCAGCATTTAGCAAAAATAAATGACTCTCAAAATGTGTTCTCTTGTGCAAACTTCAAACATGTGTTTTCTGTCATCAAATTTCTGATTTAGAAACTTGCAATTCCCGTGAGAATATTTGAGACAGACATCAAATAAACTTCAAACAAGTTATTATATTTACGTATAAAACCGCATGTCAGACCATACACAGCAAAAAACATCATAAGCTCGAAAATACATTATGCATGGCCGTAAATAACTGTGGTATATACTAAGCTTAAGCCCGCAAACTTGTACTTCATCAAATCAGATTAACCGGAGGGTAAAAGCAGATATTTTTCGTAAATTACCCATCACTTTGACTTAATGCAAACCGCATAAATAATCGCTAACAATAGAAAGCTTACATCGAACTTTGATATATGCCAAGTTGCGTTGCCACATGCGGTTATTAAAGCGTTCTCTTTTTCTAAAAACAAACAACTTTTTGCCGTAACTTTTAAATTTAGATCTAAAATCACTACGTTATTTTCAAATTATACGATCGGTTTACCACCCAGGGAATACATGTTGTGGCGGACAAGTGATTGAACTAATCTCGAAAACATAAAAAAATCTGGCACCATGAAGCGCCGGTATGATCAAAAAAATGTGTTGACAGACAATGTTGTAAAGGAAGTTTGAAGTGGCCCACAAGTCAAGTTTAAATCTGGTTGATACAATATCTAACTCGGCCCAAAAATAAATAAATAAATTTTGGGACGAGAAGTATGCTTTTAAATTGATTACACTTACGAAACATATAGATTGCGTCGTCTCTTAGTCTTGTTGGAAATTACATACCGGTACTCAAAAAATCTAGTTTTTTGAATTTTATTAGTCAAAATCATTTATCTAAGTTTCCAGCTGGTATTTTGTTTTTTATCTTTACGCTAACCGATCAGTATTTCAATTGCTTTTTTATAATAGGTCACTTCAACTTTGGGACTCCAAGGATTTTTAAAACTCGGTAGGATAATTTATAATAATAGTTTACCTCAGTTTTGGCACTGTGAAATATAACCTTGGTATATTCGGAAATGGTCAAGTTTCAAGTACTCAGTTATGTCAGTCACTGTTTACTAAATAATGGAATGGTGAAACCCCAATGTTTATATGTATACATACAAAAATGAATGCATCATATAGAACACATTACCTCAATTTTCAATTTTCTCACTAAAATAGTGTTTTCAGTATATAGGTTCAATTCTCTTTCGGTAATTAGCTACACTTTCACCGTAATTAAGTTGCAAATTGTTCTGTAAGATTTCCTGGACGCACGTGGGGATAGTAAATAAGTTTAACTCCGATTATCCGTCGCTCCAGAAGTATGTGTACCGATATAGAGGTAACTAATTTTGTTTGCCTACTTTACATCAAGCTGTGTAAAGGGACTGAAATCTATGGGCAGGTAGATATTCACTTGCCTAACACAAACAGCCCCGTACTCGTGATAGAACTAAAATAGGAAAAATCTGAATAAAATTATGGCCTAACCCTAACCTGGTACACACACTACGGGGGTATCGATTATCCAATGTCAATCTATGGCGTATATATATATATATATATCTTGAACCTCGTGACAAAGACACTCAAAAACAAAAAATCAAAAAAGGATTGCCGAGTGCCTGAATCTTTTCATCATTCAGATAATGGCGAGGGATGTCTTACATACCAAATGGAGGTATTTTTGTGCCTTGTTTTACCCACTTCTCAACTCCCTCTCTTCCACGCCCTAATGTGCATATAAATGTAAAATATTTATTTTCTGAAAATGAATTACTGGAGTGATGTCACCAATGAGTCATTGATTGTATTTTGCCATTGTGGTTAAATTGAATTACTTCGCTTGTGTAATGCACATTTGTCTGACAGTTGCGGGTTTTCTTTCGTTTGTTTGCCAACAAATTTTATTCATACGGATGATGGTACGTCTGACGAAAATGGTTACGTCACCAAAGTGCCAAGTCCATTAACGTTTCGCAAGTATTTTGAAATGACACTCAAGAAACTCCAAAAATAACATTGGCTCAGACGAATGGTTTTTGAGGTCTTTTATGTATATACAATACTATAATAGAGCGTCTTATTTGTGTTTTCATTGAAATGTTGTAAAAAATTTATGATCTGAAACTTTAGAAAGCGTTTCTCGTTATTGAGCACAATTGACTTTCAAGAAGGCTAATTAAGATTTTAGCACTGGCAAATCCGTAAGCATTATTTGAGGCTTACCAAGAACAGAACCCCCTAAATTTATTAATATTTTCTAATTACGAAAATGAAAAAAAAAGTATTCAACCCTTGAATTTCTCCTGATTGTGCATGATTGTACACAAACGTTTTAGTAATCCATAGCACGAGTGTGCTACATGCGGCCCGCGGGCCAAATGCGCATACAAGGAAAAATTGTGCGGCCCGCAGAGACGTGCTACTTTTGAATTGTGTCCCCCGGGGAACGAGTTTTTAATTAAGTTTAATCTGGTACGTGCGAATAATCCCATTACGTTAAAATGCTCTTGTGCAAAGCGAACAACGCGTGTCGTGAAGATAAATATCCAAAATTTTTGTGCTTGCAAATTCTTCGAAGCCTATGTTAAATAAAGGTGCGGCCGCGGTTTCCCTCAGGTATTTGAATGTGGCCGTCCTCTATTAAAGATTGCACACCCCTGATTTATACCACTTACAACGAAGCGCAGGATACTTTGCAAAAATTGGTTCAAATTACCTGAATTTGTCGGTAATTCTTGCTAGGTGGTTTTAATATATTTTAAATACTCTTCCTAACATACAGCTACCAAAATTTTTTTTTATAGGGTGTTCATAAAAAAATTTAAAATTGCAAAGGGAATTTATCGATACCATATATTGTTTTGGCCCTCACATACGTATTAAACGAAGTAAAAATACTTCAACAATTACTGATTAAAAACAACAAACCTGGTTAAGATATATTGAGAACTGACTTCATAACAAAATTGAAATTGTAAAGGGACTTTACGGACACCCTTTATATTATTATTTACTTATGGGAAGCCATGTTAGGTATTTCAGTTACTAGCATTCATCTTAATTATATTACCTATTTAGAAATAAACTATATATATGACATATTAAAAAACCTAAAAATTTAAGACTTAAAGTACAGCCCTAACGTTGAATATCATTTTTACTTGTCATAGGCCATATTCAGTGTTTTAGATACTAGCATTCTTTTTACCTTCGTATTTTTCGAGTCCCATATAGAAATATCTGGACTTCTTTTAGGAATATTATTTACATAAAAATTTAAACGTTAACAAAATGGTACTCCCGTAGTGTGTGTACCAGGTTAGGATGAGGGTACAATTTTATTCCAATTTTCCTTTTTTAAGTTCTATTACGAGTTCAGGGATTGTCTGTGTTAGCCAAGTAAATATACCCCTTGTCCATACGCTTCCGTGCCTTTACAAACCTTGATTTAAAGTAGGCGAACAAAATTAGTTACCTCCATATTGGTACACACACTTCTGGAGCGCCAACAAAAGTCCTAGCGTTGAATATCATTATAATCTTATATCCAGTATTCCAGTTATATACTAGTATACATCTTACCTCCTTAAGTCTATATATTCGTATTATATACGTATTATTCGGAATTTTGTAGGAATATAATTTTTATAAAATTTTAAATATAAAATCAAGTCCTACCGTTACCAAATCTTCGGAAAGTGAATCTCTGAATCCAAGTCCTACTGGAAGTAAAGTTTTATCGATTTCCAAGGTCATCTGCGTAGTCGAACATGAAACTCGACCACGAAATTCTGTGTCTGAAGAAATGATAAAATGGTTTATTGTTAATGCGAATGAGCTTAATATTGTGTGTGTTCGGATGCTTGCCATGTCCAAAATGATATGTATGACATTTTTTATTTTCGGCGGTCTAATTTTGGCGCTCCAGAAGTGTGTGTACCAATATGTGGGTAACTACTTTTGTTCGCCCATTTTACATTAAGTTGTGTAAAGGGACAGAAGCCTATAGGCAGGAGGTATATTCATTTGGCTAACACAGACAGTCCCCCGAACTCGTAATAGAACTAAAATAAGGAAAATCGGATCGGAATAAAATTAGGGCCTAACACTAACCTGGTACATATACTACGGGAGTGCCCTAATTTTTTCAATACTTTCTGAACGAGACTGCAATACTAAATTTTAATGCTAATTATAATGGAATATTTGTGTTTATATGTTGGCTGCTTGCCAAAATTATATAAATTGCATTCAAATGTTACGTCTATCATTAGGAGGTCTGCGTTGTTTCTCCACATTATAATTTTTAATCATTTTCCATAAAGTGTCCAGTACTACAATACAATTTTCGGGCTCTCATTTTAAAAGTATCTTTCCTGCAAAGAGGGCTGGAGCGTCTTGAAATTTCAGAACGTATAAAATGATAAGAGGTTTCATAAGGATAAAGCACAACTGATAAAGTTGATGTATTTTTGAAGCCCCGACTGTCAGAATCCTTAGCCCAAACGAGGACCTAACCTCAATAATGTGAATAATTGAAGCTGTGAAGATTGAACTTTGGCAAATGCCAATAATTTTCAAAAATCTGTATTTTTACTTAGCAATAATTCAAACTGACGTCTCAACCCGAAAACCACGGTAAAACTTGCACCTTTGTATAGTGTAAGATTAGCGTATTTAGAAAATGATATTTCTTTTTAAAAGTTTCACGGCAACATTTTCATTTGACAAGAACATTTTGCATTTATAACCGCTAATAAGTTACAAAACAAAAAAGTCTTTTAAGTGAAGACACACGACTCCATCAAGTAGCCACAATTGAGTTTCATTCCACCTGGCCTGTATTATCGGTGCCAGAAATCTCCTATACTATCATTTAACAAGATGAATTAGCAACGTTGTTTTGCATCGGCTTAAATTAACGAGTCTGGCAACAATGATTATTGGTGAATCCAATTAGTAATGTATTGGGACTAAAAGTACATCAATCAGTCTTAAAAATATGGGTACTCCGGTAGTATGTGAACTAAGATGGCGGACACCGAAACGTAGTATGTGTACCATGTTAGGGTTAGGCCGTAATTTTATTCCAATTTTTCCCTTTTTAGTAATAGTTTTATTAACGAGTTCGGGGACCGTTATTTCATATACCGAACAGTTAGATTTGGGTAAAAGCTTGAGGCAGGTCACGTTAAATTATGTGTCCCAGAGCGCTGGTTAATGAGCGGGGTTAATACTGTTGGGAAAATTAGGCAAAATTATGGATTCATGTTTCCGCCCTCCGAGCGATAGCCACTGGACGATGGGACCTATCTGTTTTCAAAAAAGTATTAACTGTAACCCATGGAAAATAGTGGTTGATTAATTCCATAAAATGGAAAAAATGGTTTTGTTTCAAATGCCGAATGCTGGGATAACCGTTAGACGGCGAATTTCGAATATTTATTTATTTTTTCAACTTTCCGAGCTATTTTTCAAGAACCCTTGGCAAAACCAAACACAATTCTTGTTTAAACTTCGAACCCTATTCTGGGTAACTGTATAGCTTGGTTCGGTAATAGTGAATTATTGTGGTCGGGATGAAACATTTACCTTTGGCATCTGCTATCAATATTGTTGGCGGCTCCACCGTATTGTCTGTGTCGGTGGAATCATCAACTGCGAGTAAGCACAAATTGAAAGTTGAAGATAAAATCCAAGCATGGAAATATTTTATAAACTAGTCTTTGCCTATTAATCAGTGGTATGTACAGTTAGTTATACATTGCAATTGAAACCCAATCGGTATTTTTTTTTTAAATCGGTATTTACTAAATCGTAATTCACGGCTTCGATTCATCATATTTTCAATATCATTCAAGCTAGAAAATATGCCGATCCAAACGTAATGTTGCAATTGCGCGAGAACGAGATTTTACTGTACAAATGGTCTGGTGGAACTGCGCAATTGCGCACCTTAGAGGGAACCTTGCTCGTGAGTCGTGACACGTCACTACGATGGTCGGGATAAAACAGTTACCTTTCGCATCTGCTATCAGTATGGTTGGCGGCTCCACCGTAGTGTCTGTGCCGGTATCACCTTCAACTGCAAGTAAGCACAAATTAACAGTTAATGAAAAAATACAATCAATAAAATATTTATTAATGTAGTATAGGCTTATTGATCTAGTATTTGTTTATTAATCAGCCACATGTAGAGTTAGTTATACAGAACAACAGTGAAAACCCACGAAAAAAAACTGAGGAAAAACGTCAAAAAACAGTGAAAAAAACTAAAAACCTTGCAAAAACGGTCAAAACCCATGAATAAAAACCCAAAAAGCTTGCAAAAACACTGAGACGTGATACAGCGCTACAATTCTTTATATTTTCAGCAGCTCGTGACAATTCACTAGTCGCTCGTAACTTGCTCAGAGATCTGTTTCCTTTATTTTGAGTTAATGCGCGTGACGTTACTTTACTTTTCATTTTTCTAGATGAAATTTGATTCTTAGGACAGGATTTACATATTTATCCCGGGGAGAGGAGAGCCGATAAGACGGCCTAACCATATGGCGAACCACGGCCTCTCGTCCGGTTACCATTCCATGTCGGGTGTGAAATTATTATAGTTATTTGTTTTTTGGAAGCATGGATTTTGTATTGCAGGAAGCCGAGGAGTCCAGCAATCCTCTCGCACATAACCATCCCCGAGCGGGATGCGAACCCACACAGAGTATCAGAGGTTAACGCGAGGAGCAGAGGTTAAATTAGTTATCTATCGTCGACACCCACAACGGAGAAAAAGGATTCCAGCCATAAGAAGTGCTCTGCATTTTTAACATTCTGACGTGGTTTATGCCCAACTTAGCATTCATGCGCAATTTCACTCAATCTGTCAAATCGTTCTTATATTACCTTACCAGTTTACCACAAACAAATAGACACAAAGAAGCAAAAGATTTATACAAAATAACCCTTTTCTACATAGGATCTGGCAACTATAAATTATTCCAATTTGCTTTGTAACTGGGGACGATCCGAATAAAAGAAGTGTTCACCTTGTGAATCTTTGACTGTTTCAGTTGAGTTAAGCTGCATGTCATCATACTCTTCGTCTGTTAAAAGTAAGAATGGATTAGGAACCTGGTCAGTGTATTGCTTGACTCAGATATTGCGTCACACTCTGAGTTACAGTTAAACCAGGGCCCCAAAGTCGGGAAATATTTACAATCTATCACGACTCTCAACTTCGGGATGAAGATATTAGTGTAGGTATCAAGCTTTGGAAAAATGGTCAGCGTAGGTTTTAAAAGTAGAATTCGCGACATTTACAAGATTACTTTACAAGGTTCACCCACGAAAGACATCACCCTGTTAAATAGCCTGATGGAAGAGACCACATTTATAATATGTACCACATATGTTTATTAGAAACTGGTGTGCGTAAAGGCTTGCCTATGGCAATGTACTGTACTTTAGTTGCAACTGGAATAAACTGTTGGCAAGTTTCAGTGTTTCGGCTGTAGATAAAGCTTTTGACAAACAGTCCATTACAGGAATGCTACGATCGATTAATTTTACTTCAATTAAACCAGTGGTTCCCAACCGTTTTTGGCTCGTGACCCCCTCCCGGAGGCTTTTAGCACCCATGCCCTGTTTACCATTCCTGTGGTATTTATAGTGTTGTTTTTATTTGTAGATACCCAAACTCATTATGTTCAAACAATTCGTGCTCAACAAAGTGAAATAAGCAATGAGTGTAGGTAGAAGAAACGGGGAGTTTTCTTGCAGAGGGAAAAGTTAAATCACTTTTGCGTCCAGCAATATGCCCCCCCCTTTATCTGCTCCGTGGCCGCCGTGTGGGGCCACGGGTCCCCAGTTGGAAACCGCTTATTATTAAACTTATATTAAACTAACGCTTATATTAAACTATTCCAGAAGTATGTTAATGTTTTCTTACCATAATAATTGTAATATTCTTCAGAATAATAAGCCGATTTTTGTTCTTTATCAGCTGCGGATACAAACGTTAAAATGCAAACATATATTATCGTCGGCACAAGCATGACCTTTGACTTCTGTAAATTCTAGTAAACTCATAAAAATATTCTGAGAAAAAAACATTTAAACAGCTGCTTAGTATTAATTGTAACAATAAACTTCATCACCTGGTAATCAAGTGTTGTCAGATACACAGACAGAAAAAACTATATAAAAATCATTGTTCTATTTGTTAAAAAATAAACTTCTACTCGTATAAATTTTGGGTACTCGCGAAGTATGTGAACCAAGATGGCGGACACCAGAACGTAGTATGTGTACCAGGTCAAAGTTAGGCCATATTTTCAAATATTATACAAATACTACAGGAGTCGCTTGGCTAGTCCAGAACCCGTAATAGAACTAAATGAGGAAAATTGGAATAAAATTATGGCCAACCTTATCCTGGTACACATACTACGTTCCGGTGTCCTCCATCTTGGTTCACATACTTTGGGTGTACCAAATTTTGATTGTGCATAGCACGGATTACTTTGAAATTGTCATATATTGAAATTCAAAATTACAGCCCTCAACGCCAGCGGAAATTGATTTTTATAAATTTATTTTTAACTCCATAACATTATCATCATAATTATCAAATTATTTTACGGTCTTGCATGGGGCTCATTTGTTACATATTTGACTATCAATTCTATCCTTGAGTATTTCTTGAAACGCGGTTGGCACCAGGGAGAAAATAAATTGGGCAGACAGTATTGGACTGTATCGTTGAAAAAAAAACATGATAGCTCCACACGTAAAAGCGACATTTTTCAGAGCGTTGCTTGGACCAAGAGCGTAGCGAAGCCGTAAACTCTTTAATCAAGTTTATGCAGAATTAAATTTAAGCGATTGCACAAATTCCCTTCGACAACGAAATTACATATTAACCATGGACAATCATATCATATTTCGCATTAATTTTCTTCTCGCGAGTTAACGATCCATAGATTATACTAAATAAAAGATACTCCCATTGTGTGTGTACCAGGTTAAGGTTAGGCCATAATTTTAGTTCTATTACGAGTTCGGGAACTGTCTGTGTTGGCCAAGTGAATACACCCACTCTCCATAGGTTTCAGTCCCTTCACACAACTTGATGTAAAGTAGGCGAACGAAATTAGTTACCTCCATGTTGGTACACATACTTCTGGAGCGCACAAATAAAATGCTGAATTATACTTTAAATATTTTCACTTTTCAGCATTAAAGTCGACAATTTATTTTTCCATTTTTGCGATCCTCGTTATGTCAGAACGTATCAGGTTCAGCAAAGTGACTATTTATACAAATATGGCAACCACAAGAATGTCTGACTCTATTTACGAATCCACAAATGACGAGGTGGGACTAAAAAACCATTAGTGCCGTGTCAATTTACGGAAACCTTTAAGCCGCAAGTTTAAGCGCGGATATCACTATATTTAAGCGTTCAAAATCACTCAGCATAATAGTACACAATAAAAGTAAAGTACAAGCGTGCATATCATTATATTAAAAGCCTTTAAACGACCTAGCACAACAAAGCAAAGTTCTAGGTAATTTTACCCAAAAGCCCGAAATATTGAGTCTTGTTTTAAGTCCATGGAATGTTTACTGTACACCGTAAAGACACTGATATTACAGTTTTGTCAACATTATGATTGTTTACCAAAGCTAAATACCTACAAGTATACTTTAAATTTCTTCCACTTCAATGGCATATATGTTTGTATTTTGAGGTTGTTTGTTTTCTTAACCCATCCGAGTCATTGCCGCTCGTTAAAAGCTCAAGGAATCCAAATTTCTAATCTTACTGGGATTAACACAAGCATAATTGTCGACTTAACGATCGGGCGTGGATAATAGCCCTGACCTCGACTTTCTAAATGCATGGTGGCCAGACTCCATTACCGCGAAATCACCCCACCGCCTAATGGCCCCAAGACTTTTATTATTTTCTACAAGATTTGATCCTTTTAAAAAGTTGATGCTGGTTGAAGTGTTTGAAATGGATATCCCTGCCCTGAATATTTTGTTTTCTCATAATATTCACGATGAAAATGCAATTTCCAAAACGCCGAGGTTCATTTGCTTCAGCGTACAAAAACCAGGCATGCTCGATTCACTAGAAGTAGTTTGCTCTGAATATGGCCCTGGTGGAGAATTCACACAGTGACAGTGACACGAATGAGACGGAAGATAGTAATTTAACGCTTCAAAATACCTTTTTGTTAAAAGTAGACTAAATATAGGGCTCTCGATTATAAACGTAGCCAGTCCAATTTTTTTATGGGGGGGTGACAATTTTTTTGTAATATGACGTAATGAGATACTACGCTTACTCGCGGTTTTTGCTCCGAACATGCAGATGAAAATAGCCACTGATATCTAATAATACCTTATAGAGTCTCTCGATATATTTCATTCGCTGACGAAGCTATACCAGCGCGCACTTTCATCCATCTCGGTTGGTTCATTTGAAAGGATTATTGATGATAAGCCATTGCGTCCACCGTCAAAATCTAAATTAATAATTCCGTTGCAAATCCGACTTTGAAATAATCATTGTCATCGAGTCAAGTAGAGGGCGCGTATATCGCACAGCGTTGTGCTTGACATTTGAGGTAGACTATATTATATTGTTGTTTAATCCTCGATTTAGCCGGTTCGTCAATCATTTCTACTTAAGTTGTCTGCTAAATGACGTCACTGGACCGTTTCAAAAGTCGATCGTAGTGTTGTCCCAAGTTTGGAATTATGATATTTATCCCATCCGTTTAATCAACCGATACTAAATCTAAGAACTACTATGAAGTTTTACGAAAAATGCTGACCCGTGTCAGAAATGGAATTTGCATTTATTTATTATTTATTTATTGTTGGTATAATTTTCAATTTGACGATATTCTATGTCAATTCCTTACAAAATCATTTTTTCCAGATTCTTGGCGCTCACTTTTAAACGCAAAATATATACCTCACGTTTACTGATAGAAAGCTAGATTTCTGTAAGATTTGGGGATCTCGCCGTGAGATGTATCACAACAAACCACGTTACTTTTCCTAAAATTATGGTTGAGATTTTCGTAAGTAATTTGAAATGTCATTGATAAATCTAGCGATGGAGAATTTAGATTCAAACTCACCCACTTTAATCCAGTAATTGGCAGCTGACTTAGAAAGAATAAAAATCACATATATATTATAGAATCGGGGAATCTTTCAACTTGGTGACTACAGAACTGTTATTAATGAATTTGCACAAAATAATTGAATGGCACTCACTTATATTTAGGCCTGATTGGTGGATTACGTAAATTTAAATTTCCCGCCAAATTCCACTAACCCCCGATCACGTGTGAGGTTAATAAAATAAAATATGAAGTGATATGACAAAGCTCGAATAAACGCTTTCATTTATACTCATTTTCCTTCTTTTATACAAAACTTTATTTGCTTATTTTACTAAGACAAACAAAAATACCTAAATTAACTAGTCCGGAAGTCCCAGAGTCGAATTACTTTGTATTGCCCATAAGAATAAAAAAGAACCATGTAATCAAAAAATGCGGTTAGATTTGCAATTGTCTATCATGCAAGACCACACAAAATAATATCAGGACATGCATTAAACTAAAATTGAACATTTAATCATATTCACATATAAGTCATTAAAAGTCTTCTATCCTAAGTAAAATAATCTACACCAGATGGGCTGGCAACACAACGATTTATGTAAACAACATGATATAAGCAATAAAAATAAATTCTTCTACAAACCACCCATCAAAGCGGATGTGGAAGAAAAATTACAATACTTAGAGCGGGATTATCTAATCTACAATCTGTGGCAAGTAACATATTCTTTGATGTATAGTACCTCTATTGTAAATATATGTATAATACATTGCCCTCGGCATTTAGCCAAAGTTTCAAGGTAGATTTACGCTTGAATTGCCCTAATACTGTTAAAAAGAAACGTAAATATCATGGATTTTGTTGTACACTATATGAATAGATCAAAATTGGGTTTATTTTTCTATTGGACAAGCATTATTCTAACTCGGGCCATTACTAGTTCAAAGGCCACACATATTTCATTGGAGAGTCGCCCCATCAGGGTGTCTATCGCTAATTTACAGTTAGGCCTATAATTTGCTAAGAGCAATATTTATTTCCGTTGATTTTTCAGGGAAACGAAAAACCGTTTTTTGTTTTGTTTATTATTTGTAGGAAGAACACAAACATACAAGATTCAATACATTCTTTGTTTTCAACCTATAGACAAGCACTTAGCCTTCAAGCTGTATCTAATTACGACCCTGGTGTAATATGATAATTCATGAATGGACTACACACGTCGGAGTGGAATTGTGTGAGAACACTCAACGAAGTTATTAGAACTACTGGCCCTCGTTAGGTAACAAAACCAAACAGACAAACATAAAAGCAAACCCAGATTCGATTTGTTTGACGCATTTGCTAATGATGTTGGATTAGCATATGCATATGGTCCACTGATGTGTAGAGGTCCTCGATTCGATCCCTCGACTGTTCATAGCAGTGTTGTAAAAGCTCAAGTCAATGACACAACTCGAGTTCTAGTACTCCCGTAGTATGTGTACCAGGTTAGGGTTAAGCCATAATTTTATTCCGATTTTCCTTATTTTGGTTCTATTACGAGTTCGGGACCTGTCTGTGATAGCCAAGTAAATATACCCCCTGCCCATAGGTTTCAGTCTTTTTACACAACTTGATTTAAAATAGGCGAACAAAATTAGTTACCACCAAATTGGCACAACACTTCTGGCAACTTCAATACAATTTGCGAATTGTGCACTCCCGTAGTGTGTGTACCTGGTTAGGGTTCGACCATAATTTTATTTCGATTTTCCTTATTTTAGTTCTATTACGAGTTCGAGGACTGTTTGTGTTAGGCAAGTGAATATACCCCGTGTCCATAGGTTTCAGTCCCTTTACACAACTTGATGTAAAGCAGACAAAAAAAATTATCACCTGCATATTGGTACACATACTTCTGGAGCGCAGCGAATTGTTATCGCGCAACATTGCCACGACGACTATGGTAAAAAATCAGAAAATACTCACCATTTGGCAATCACGTCTTCTAGATTCGTGTTGACTATATACAACTTATCGAGAACGGCGCGAAGCACGGTTAATCGTAGTCATATGGTCGGGGATAAAATGTACGAGACTTGTTTGGAGGGACAGCCGTAGCATTGACATTTGAGACGATTTCAAGTCCATGCTTCCGAAATCAAATAACTGGCTAACTAATCCCATACCCGACACGGACTGGTAAATGGACGAGAGGCCGTAGTTCGCCGTATGATCGGATTTCCTCTACCCCGGAATAAATATGTAAATCCTATTTAAACATGTGTCTGACACGTAAGGCTGCATATCTTAGACTTGTTGACATCTTAACTATGTTTGCCCCGGGGAGCAGAATGACAGACAGTAATCTGTAGTTTTGTACTTTCACACTCAGGTTACCGGTAGTCAAGCTTGTGTCCATGGCTACGTCTGTTCTCATGACACGGAATTCATAAACTTCCGTCTAACTTTACTTTATGGTGCATAAAGTTACCAATAAACCGGCACCGTTATGCTGTAATAACATTGTTGTAAGATTTATATTGGTGCACTGTACATAATAACATTTCATAGAGTAAATCGTAACTTTTGATGGGGGTCATAAGGTTAAACCAAGGTGTGACATCGAAAAATGCAAACCACGTCTCAACGGCAAAACTTCACAATTCCACAGCGATATATATTATCAGACGGAATTCTGAATTCCCCAGATATAATCCTGTTCTCATACATACCAGTGACAGTCTAATTTAGCGCCACTAACCTATTTTCTCGTATGCTTTACAATTACCTGTCCAAAAACAGCTCACAAATCGCGTTGGCCCTTTTGTTGATTCAAAATATACTTTAACTTGACTGATTCGTTCCACAACTTGTCGACCCTTTTATACAAAACTCAATGTTTTTTGCGTAATACTCTTAGTATATTCTCTCTCGTATTATGAAACCACGGCATCTGTGATCTATCAAACAATTCCATTCTGAAGGTTTATGATTAATCAGGTATGGAGAAATAGAGGAATTCAGTTTTCGATTAAGCAAAACTATGCACGTTTTATCGTGCTTCACCGAAAATAAGACAGTCTTATTTCAATTTTCTTTCGAAGAATAACACTAATGTTTATTGTTTGGGAATGTCTTTTATTCTCATTTATCAAAAACAAACTTACAAAGTGGGGAATTACGAGATTTCCAAACATACAAAATACGAAAACCGATATTTATTTACTTTTAAATAACAGGTTTTTATTTAAAAAACTGCTAAACATAGATTATTCAAAAATGACCAATCATTGAAACGTGTAAGGGAGATTTCTTGCATCGATTAAAAAATAACTTCGCGCTATCGACTAGGTCACATTTTAAGGGGTGGGTCTTATTTTCGGGGAAATACGGTAGATATCGGTGGTGGTCGATCAGCTGGCGTTCGCTGTGAAATAGGCTCTAGATTTGTTACTGACTTATTTTAATGTCTAACGTTAATGTCAAATTTTATTTCAGCACACGAAAATTGCATGAAGTTGATAATTCGAACGCCACACATAATGGTAATCGGAAGGTTATTTACTATATATATAGCCAAAAAAATCCGTAATAATATTAGAGAAATATTTTGGGGTTACGGATGAGCACCCATATCAGATACCACGGGGGAATCATGCAGCTGGAGGACGTGAAATGTTCCCAAGCGACCCTAATACGGTTAATCGAAACGATATCCGAACAATATGGTATTCGTTTATTTAGACTCCATAATCAGCATAGCAGACGATAAAATAATTGATAAGAAACTGACTATAGAATCGGGAGAGTAAACAAAACCTTGAGCGAGGTTCATACCGTGCAGAATTTAGGTTGAAAGGTTTTGCCAAAAAAGAGTGTTAGTGTTCACTCACCTTTTATATTAAATTGATTCACACACACAGTGGTACTAAACATATCATCGATATCAGAGTGTAAACTTTCCCAGAAAGCCCATCCAAATTAGAAAACTCGTACTGAATAGTGCCAACATTTATTATCATTGTACAGTAATTACTAAATGCGATTAAAAATTACGAAATACTGCATAGTGGCATAGGCTCGATATAGAGCCGGAGACTCGAATTGGCAAAACGATAATGGCAAAGCGAATTTCTGTTGTCAGGTATTTGGTTTGACAATATTTAACCCGAACTGTAGAGTAGATGAACGTTCCATCGGGATCATTCAAAAATGACACTAGGTGCCGGTCAGGGGCGGGCGCGGGTGTTTTTATTTATGTAAAAGCTGACATTGTGTGTATGATCTCGTGTGAATGATTGTCGTGATGAAGAGTCAGCAAAGGGCCATCATTATCAAAAACTTGCCCCAGGCAGCAAAAAAATTTGACTCGCCCCTGTTGCGACAAATATGTGTTATTCGACTTCGACTTTTCACTAAATATGGTTGAGGCTTATGGACACGGACATCTGAATTTTGAAATTTGTAATTTCAAACCTATACATTTAAGTCCAAAATTTCTATCCTTAAAAGGAATTTGACGCGGGCCTTACTCCCGCCAAGACACCGGAACCCACAAAACAGCAAACCCTATATCCCGAGCTGCAGTCAACAATTTCTATCCTCAGGATCTTGATATTCCAAACCCAATAACTCGAAAATCTCCTTTTCACTCGATGCTGGTATGTTTTGCTTCTAAACAAAAAATAATTAAAAAGAAAAAAATTAACACTGAAAGATTAAGAAAATGACGAGAAAAGATCATATTTAAATACTTGTCTTTGGGAATAGGAAAACCTATAACCAATGAACTAGGATAGCATTTTCATTATTTATCCTTCAGCTTGATATAAACAACTGGTTAATATTGGCTTATCAGGAAATATTGTGCGATCCGACTTCTTACAATATGATGACTATGAGTCTAAAGCGGGAAGAAATCATGCAGAAAAGGGATAACCTGATATGGTTAATATAATTTTGGGTACTCCCGTAGTATGTGTACCAGGTTAGGGTTAGGCTATAATTGTATTCCAATTTACCTTATTTTAATTCTATTACAAGTTCGGAGACTGTTTGTGTTAGCCAAGTGAATATATCCCCAACCCATAGGTTTCAGTCTCTTCACACAACTTGATGTCAAGGAGGCGAACAAAATTAGTTTCTTCCGTATTGGTACACACACATCTGGAGCGCCTAATTTTGTACTTGGCAATCTAACACATGCTACTATTCCATACTTATCCAATAGTATGTATACACTCATCTCACCCCTTCCAGTGTATACATTCCATGGCTTGTCAACACTATTTGCTTTTCTGATTTTGAGTATCTTCGTATTTCTCTCTCAAAGTGCTGGAAATGAAAAGGAATGCAAGTAAACTGCCACAATTTCAGGAAATTCCTTTAAAGTTGTTATGAATTATCAATTACACCAGATTATATTGACAAACAGTTTGACACAAGAAGTCCTTAGAAGCGTATGGGCGTATCAGCCTTTCAGAGAGCTGTAAGCTCGTTGGTTTCGAATTTCATAGCCAGATTCTAACATTCTAGGTCAAGATTGCGGCTAAAATGAATTGAATCTGTGAACCTTAAGCTCAAAAGCAAATACGCTGGGAGCAATGAAAGCCAATGACTGCATTTTAGTTGTCAGAATATTAAATCTCTCACTCTCTTTCAAATCTCATTGTATAAAGCAAATGTAACAATATTACTGACCTTCGATCCTGTCCATCCAAGTACAGCAAATGGAAACTGAGAATAAGGTACAACTATCAAATCCACCCTGCGAGCTGTCCAAGTTCTTTTATGATTTTCACCTGCAGCTGAAAAAAGTTAATTTCGATACCCATGAATAATGGGAATATAAGTTTCTGTGGATAAACTTGAGGATGAACGGTGATATTCAACTTAAAAAACGCTTGGCATCACATGGATAGGATATGATTAACATATTAACCCCCGGAAAGAGGAAAACTGATAAGACAGCTTAACCCTATGGCGAACCACAGCCTCTCGTCCATTTACCATTTCATGTCAGGTATGGGATTAGTTACGCAATTATAAGCATGGACACATTTCTGAGTAATCAGACAAAAGGCTGTGACCATATCATTAAATTGTTTTGAGATGCAAAATTCCTTCCCCAATAATAAAAAATGCTTATATTTGTTACAATTTATAGCATACCCCCACTTTCTGGAGGGCATACACTCTCACACACTGAAATTTGGAATGGTTATTTGATGATTTCTGATAGTGATAAAAAGCAGCAAACATATATTCATACAAGTAAGTACAGATATACCAATATATGCCCCCTTGACTCCTTCCATTTGGTTTTTGGAATATTTTTAATTACACTTATGTATTTGATTTCCTTCTATGCAACCTGTATCAAAGTTAGACTTTTGAAACAGGTGTCGCTGCTCGATAACCATCATTGGGTTTCCGCATCACCCTTCTCCGTAAAATGCCATTTTCATGGCCTTTTATCCTAGTTTTTGTTCGCATCAAGCATATTTTCATTTTGGTGAAAATTAAACTACTGGATGACTGACTCCAACATTGTCCTATAAAATACTACTTCCATACCTTTATCGGTTTTATCAACTTTAAATATCCCATAACATTTTTCGAAATGATCTGTGGTGCTTTGAGAGGTAGAAGTTACTTTAGCAGCATGATATGGGTTTTCTGTTGTTCCTGCTTTTTTATCAGTGTAAACAAATTCATCCTGGAATATAAAAATGAACAATTTTGAACGTATTACTTATTCCTCATTCAAGTTGATCGTTTATTGGTATGAAATTGAACTTATATTGATTAGTTTTTCGAACATGTTTGCACTTTTATATAAAGAAAAATAGACTAATACCAAGATCATCATGATCCATTCCGAATGAATTGTGATAATTAATTAATATTGAAAAATACAAGAAATTGAATTAAACTGAGGAATCTACATCTGGATACAACATGTCAACAATCTACAACATTTTATTGGAATGGCTCATTTAGTGACCGTGGGTGGGTTTAATCGCCTCGTGGTTAAAGTTTATGCCCGCCAACACTCCCAAATTGGTAATAGTTAGGTATGTAATGGCAAACCAGACATGTCGTCCCAGTCTTTTGATAAAGAGTATGCTGAGGCTTAGCTTTTTGTCAAGAGCTTAGTTGTGTGAAATTGTATAACAAAATGAAGAAAAAAGCACATTTTGTAAGCCAAAACCAGGTTATCTGCTATCAAGAATGAAAGCTCTACCTAAATACCCAACCTTTAATTTGTCCAATATTTTATGCAAAATTTTTTCTTTTCTGTTTTCAGGGTGAGTGATTAATAAATCAATGTCGTGTCCTACTTGTTTTCCTCGACGAAAACCTCCAACTAAAATTACTTCAATGCCTAAAAACAAAGATACTTTCGGACAATATACAGAAATGTTGGCGCTCCAGAAGTGTGTATACCAATATGGAGGTAACTAATTTTGTTCGCTTACTTTACATCAAGTTGTGTAAAGCGACTGGAACCTATGGGCAGGGGGTATATTCACTTGGCTAACACAGACAGTCCCGAACTCGTAATAGAACTAAAATAAGGAAATCGGAATAAAATTATGGCCTAACTCTAACCTGGTACACACACTACGGGAGTACCGAATTGTCAGCATTGCTACAAATATGTTCCAGATCCAAGCTCCATGCCTACCCAGGGTATATATAATAAATGAGTTGAGGCTATGGCGAAACCAGAATAATCCAATCATCTTGAAAACAGTAGCTCATTACAAATACAGTAAACATCAGCTTGTACCTAGTTTGGAGTTAAAATGCTGAAAGCATCAGAAAATTTGAAATCAATTTTGATATTGAATTGTTTCCATTTCACATATCTATCATGAGTTGTGGTTTGAATAAGATCATTTGATCCATATCAGAGTTTCCTACACATACTTCTGCAAAATTACAGAAATCTTCCAATACCAGTCAGCATTATATAAAGTAGTTTATGGACAAGTGGCTGGCGGGTTGAAAATCCCAAGTTCATGCCAAAGACCCATATGTAGATAATGCCAAATCAAAATAAACTTTTGATTTTTTTTTATTTCAACAGATTTGATCTATTTTGAATTTACTTCCAGAATGCCTTCTAGGGTAGGCAATGCCGAACCGGGAAGGTTACAGTAGCACTAGCATATCAGTGACTGGTAGTGCAGAGCCTTGTTCAGAGCGAAAATACTGCTCAAACAATCAGAATATTAAATCGCTCCTATCTCAGTTAACTATCACAAGATGCAGTGCTCATAGGATCATTTGATTCACATTAAAGCTGCCCCAATTTACTTCTGGATACAAATGTCCATATCCGAAAAGCATCCTGAAGTCACAATGTGTTATATAGGGCAGGGTGGTCCAGGGTTGTCGGCTCCGCGAGCCACAAAATTATTTTTGCATTATTCGTGGGCCACAGTAGTGCCAAGAATAGGTAAACAGTGCAATACAAAACAAACACTTTTATTGTGCAAAGTAGTGCAAACACATAGTTATCAGGCATAGCCATTCTAGGATAATAGAATCCGCATTCGATTTTTAGTTTTCTATGATGCCTATATTGTTAGCATATATTCCCGACCAAAAAGTTAGAAAGCCAGATAACAATTAAGACTGCCAAGCACATCATTCAACTTCGCTAGTTTCCCCAGCTAGCCATAACACTATTTAATTCAGTGACATCAGTGATGACATTATATGTCAAAAGATTTTTCAAATTAATTTTATGACGAAACAACACGAAATGCGATTTTTTGATTATTCTCCGAATGTGACGCGGGCCACAGATAATGAAGCGGTGGGTGGGCCACATGTGGCCCACGGGCCTGGGTTTGAACCACCCTGATATAGGGCGTCCATGAGGAACCTTTGCATATTTTAATTTTGTTATGAAGTCAGTTCTTAATATATCTTAACCAGGTTGTTGTATTTTAGTCAGTAATTGTTTAGGTATCTTTACTTAATTCAATATATCTGTGAGGGCCGAAACAATATATGGTATCGCTATATGATATGGTATAGCTGAGCTATTTCAAAAAGAAAGATTCTGGTTCTTTTCCTATGACAGGTCATTTTTAATTTAATTCCAGAATGTCTTTCTATTTTTACCTTCTTGTATGCTAGTTGCAACTTCTCTTATGTGATTTTCTATTCGTTTTGCATCCAATAATGGCAGAGGTGAATTTAAATCTTCATAATATTCTAAACCTGGTGAATTTAAACAGATTAATGGAGTTGTGTAATGACAGAAAGGTCCAGAATAAAAACCTATAAATGAGAGCTTGATACGAGACATGTGCAGTGGGAGGACGTACAAATAAAAACACTTGTGCAAAAACATTTTCGTATTCTAATGTCTAAAAAAATATTCGAGCTCATATTTTAATAAAGATATAGTTTCAACATGATTTATTCCAGAAAATTTGCAAACACTAAGCTGAACATGAGGCGCTCCCGTAGTATGTCCTACAAGATGGCGGACATCTGAACATAGTATGTGTACCAGGTTAGGGTTAGGCCATAATTTTATTCTAATTTTCCTTATTTTAGTTCTATTACGAGTTCAGGGACTAGCCAAGTGACTCCCGTAGTATTTGAACCTGAAATTATGGCCTAACCCTATCCGGGTACACGTACTATGTTCCAGTGTCTACCATCTTGTTACACATACTACGTACCGAACATTATTCTCTTGAAAATGAGCAACAATTGAGATGAAAATAGAAAGTGCAAAGCTTACCATAACTCTGATCTCGATTCAGTGATATTGACGAGCAATTTTTGACATCATCAAGTGTTCGTAACTTTAAATCGTAAAACCATTTTCTTGCAGTTTGAGGTCCGACACCAAAAATTCCGCAAAATAATTTCATTGTTTGATAGAATTCATTGCTCGATACTTCTTCAACTTCTGTGGAATGGCCATTTGCTAGAATATCCTGATTAGGGAAGGGAAATATAACTCATGAAGATAGAGTGAAATACCTTAGAAAAATAAAAAATATTTCTTAAGATAATGCTATAGATATGCATTCTGTAATGAAAATACTGAGAGTGTTCTCAGTCTAAATGTCAAACTATTGGGCACTTCAGAAGTATGTGTACCAATATGGAGGTAGCTAATTTTGTTCGTCTATTTTGCATAAAGTTATGTAAAGGGACTGAAACCTATGGGCAGGGAGTATATCCAGTGGTGGGATTCATACTTTTTGTCAGCCGGTTGCCCGTTTCCTCCACAAAAGTCATATTTTTCAGCTGGTTTTGTTACAAACAGAACATTGGCAGTAACCAGAAATGCTAACCGGTTTGCTGATCTCATAAAATTCTGTGAGACGGTTCTGTGAGATCGGGTGCGAACCGGCTGAATCCTACTACTGGGTATATTAACTTGGCCAACACAGATATATCGTAATAGAACTAAAATAAGGAAAATTGGAATAAAATTATGGCCTAACCCTAACCTGGTTCACAAACTATGGGAGTACCCTATAAGATATATATTACTATCAAATATGTCGTGTTCTCATTCTAAAAGGCAAACTATTGTATTTAAATGTAGATTCTTGATTATTAAACACATATCAACAGAGTAAATGCAGGTATTCTTTCAAATTAGAATAAAAAAACAGTCAGATAACAAAAATCATTTTATCACAGTTGACAAAGTGCCAATAAATGTGATAAATTTCAAGATGTGAATCAACATCTAGCATTATATCCAGAGCATATAATATGATACTATTAATTAAGTCAGATAGTTTTAATTGGAGATGGAAGAAAGGATCCCATTAGTTGGTTTAAAATTTAAATAATTAATTAATCCCTAACTAATTGGGCATAAAGCATATTGGGCATATTGATGGTGATATAGTGTAGTTAGAAAACTGACAATTATAACTCTTTTACAATGTCCAGGTTTTGAGCTGCCACCAATATCAATATGAGGTAGATTTTTCAAATCGTTGATGTGTGAAATTTTATGCTTGAGTGATTTCAACGTAGATGAACCTCGTCGAAAAGCCAACGACCTTGCATCAGCATTTTGATCTCCTCGGTACAGTGCGTGTTCTTCTAAAACCTCCAACGCATCCTAGATTTAAATAATTAATGGTAGTTAATATTTAATGATGTTTATCTAAAGAAGATCATGGGATAATAACCCAATAAAAGCACAATACATAACCAATTTATTTAATTATTTGAAATAATTAGATTGAAGCTTTCAAATCATTTTTAAAGTGAAAAAGTAATTGATATACCATGTTTCTCTGTGTTTAATACGCATGTATAATTCAATGAAATCAATGCTGAAAAACATTTCTGAAATTACAGAGTGTGTAATATACATCTGAGTGGGAAAATATAGGATTTACTCATTTATCAGGGGAGGAAAGTTAATAAGAAGGCTTAATCATATGGAGAACCATGGCCTCTCATCCGGTTACCAGTCCATGTCGGGTATGGAATTAGTCAGCCAATAATTTGTTTCAGATGCATTTACGGTACTTTATATTAAAGTTCTTACGGTGAATATTTTATTCTTGTGATTTAGAGGTGATGATCTCTGGCAAGCATACATTGGTATCTTCTCTTCTAATTTGAGTTTCTTGGAGGGAACCCCAATATCTTCATCCTTGTAAAGTACAGTGATGAGTAAAGTGATAATACTTTAAGATAATATTAATACACCAATACATCATGAATATTACAAACCATAAAATAAGGCATAAACTAGCACACCCATTTTAAGCAGGATACTTGAAAACATAACATTGTTCAACACAAGAAATATTGCTTCAGATCAGAATATTGTCAACAAAGCTCTTGTTTTTAGCTGTGGGCATGTGAGATACTAACTTAAATGATGTGGCACATTACTTTGTGATACTGTAATAGTTAATCACAAGATACTACCAATAATATTAGATAAAGACGAACCTCATCTTTCAACAGATGTGTTTCCAAAACAGGAACGAGTTCCTTTTCTTTCATGCATGATGTAAACCATGAGATATTAACAAATTTCTGATTTTCCCAGCTCAACTCATCTGGTTTCAACTTCTTTACTTTCTTTAAAAATTGTAAAACTTGAAGTTTGGTGCAATCTTGCGCAAGAACATGTGTGACTTGATTACTAGATAGAAATGAAATATGAATGTTTGATAATGAAAAGAGTTCATTTATCACAATGATCAAATGGTTGCTTGGACTTGGAAGAGATTTGTACGACTGTATTGATGAAGTTGGGGAATTTACATTTGACATGACAAAATTCTGAAAAAAAATTGAACTTCGCCTTAAGCTCCGAACTCCAAGAAGCATTCAAAGTTTCCACCCCAGCAAAGACGTCTGATTAAAGAGAGTAAATAAGTTCCATTATCAATAAAAACATCCCAAACTGACCCCATGGTCCTGTTTTATATTCTAGCTTACGGTCAACTACCTCAAAAGCAATGTAATAAACTGGGATATGATAAACCTTTTATCCTCTGGCTTATCATTTATTTATAGCTTCAACATGAAAAATATGCCTACACTAGAGTAATAACCAAACAGTTCTTTTGAACACAACAGTTTATTTATACCAAGCGTGCCAGTAGTGGTTAGCCAAAGTTAACCATGACCACCCCGAAAATAAAGCAATGGCCTGGGCCTTAGAAGTAGCAAAACTCCTTATACGTAGTATTGCCACCCATTTCAGTGGGTAGCCTATATTCTCAGACAAGAAAGACTACTGTAGTTCCAAAAACATACCACCTCCCTACATATCAGTAATGGCTCATTTTGACAGACTTGTTTGGAATGTGCCAAAATTCTAAAACACCCCACAAAGATCATTATTTTACCTGTAATTTTTATTGACTTTCAAGAAGTTTGATTTTTCAGCAAGTGCTGTGAGATGATTCAATCTTGCTTTGTATAAACCCTTTTCCACAAAATAAATGATTGGCTTTGACGTTTCCATGTCCATTAACGGCCTTATCTTTCCATACCATAATATAATGCAAGAATTACTAACAAAAATATCATTTATTAGCCAATACAATAAAACACAATTTCCATAGAAATACTAAAAAACATTGAACTATAAAACTGAACAAAACGCTAAAACCAGTAATAAAGAATGAAACATGAAAATACAAGAGCACCAAATACAGAAAAAGATAAATACTGTATTTCAATTGCATAATTATCTTTGAAAAATTTCCCATTGTAAATAACGTGCAGATTAAATGGGTTTGTTATACTAGGAATAATATGATGATACTTCCTTTCCTACTTGCCATGTAGCAATGGTGAATGTACATGTACCAGACAAGGGGTGATGAATTAGAAGATGACGTTCAATACTATGTTTGATTACTTATAAATGTACCGGATAAAAATGTAATATGAGTAACATTCGATCGCTCATTTCTCAGAGATATGAATTGGAGCATCGCAAAAAGGATTTAACAAACATAAATATAAAAAAAATTAGTCACTCTGTATCCACATTTTTCAGAGAAGCAAATAGAACGTTCAATACTATGTTTGATTACTTATAAATGTACCGGATAAAAATTTAATATGAATAACATTCGATCGCTCATTTCTCAGAGATATGAATTGGAGCATCGCAAAAAGGATTTAACAAACATAAATATAAAAAAATTAGTCACTCTGTATCCACATTTTCCAGAGAAGCAAATAGAATTGTATATGAATTAAAGCATTGTAGAACACTTTAAGAAACTTGAACATTGATGAAATAGCCAGTCTATGTCCACATTTTTAAACTATGATTTTTCACGCTTTTTTCAAACAACGCTATGTATAAACATCCACTTATGACTGATGTACAATAACCTCCTATTACATACAGATAATGAATTTACTTTAAGGTGCGGTTGCACCTCATTTTAACACAATTGTGTTGTGTGTGAAGGTCGAAAACTCTGGGTTTAAGACCCCCATGACAACTACAACACCTAGTATGTAATAAATTGTTGCATCAATGCTGGTGTATTGAGATTCTGAGCTTTACAAAAATTGCAGCTTTTTTAGGTCTCAGGGGCTCAGCTCTTGAACAAAGGTCTTAAATAAAGTTGAGGTTTAAATAGGGCATCATAACAAGCCATAAAAAACTGAACACTCCAGATTTCCATGTGCTTGCTATGTTTAAGTTGTTGCTTGCCTAGAGTCTTATTTTGAGCACAGATACTTATCGGCAAACACATCAGTCAGTCTGAAAATCCGACCGCAAACAAATTGATTTTTTGATCATAATTGTTGGATAAAATAATCAATGACAAAGAACAGACCACCAATTTGATGATCATCAAGACTCATCATATGATAAAAATAGAATTGACCATGAAGGCAGTAAAACAGACTATACAACAGTGGTTCTCTGTTAACCATTATGATAAACAACTCATACACACATGGCAGCGAAAACACCTTGTGACTGGATTTAACCGTTTCAGGTAATGAAACTGGGGAGAATCAGGAAATTTCTCATAAATGGAAAAGTAGGTAAACAAAATCACAGTAAAATCAATTCTGTGCCTAGTATGGTGGGCCCCTCCAAGTGCACTGGGCCCCCGATGAGGAACCGCTGCTACACATAAACGAGTGTCACATTGAAAAATAATGGTCTTGGTAATAACTAAAAAAGACGTATGGACTCCAAGATTTTTAAAATAAATTTGATCCTGTCCCTGTTTCAATTCCTATGTAACCCAACCCTAATTCAAGCAAGCAAAAAAGTATCGGTTGGAGAGTTGGTCCTTTTCACTTTCTCTACATTTAGAGTTTTCTGTGATTGAGAAAAACATTGTGGTCAGATTTTACTTGAATATTATCTAAAGGGCATAGCAGCAAAAATATACAGCAAAGGACTAGTTTATTTTACCAGATATGCCGATACATCAAAGTATATTACAGTAAAATAAATCCCAAATTAGATCAAACATTGAACCCGTACACCCTCTGAAATGAAATTCATAATTTAAAATAGATTTTCTGTAATGGGTATATAGGTACTTCGCTGATAAAAATTCTATGGGAAATTGAATTGAGTTACATATGCTATTACGATTTGTAGGATATATTAATAACATCTTGATTGCAGTGAAAATGATATGCAAAAGAATTTCTAGTGGATAGTTAAATTCTAGTAAAATATTAAGGTGATTCAAAATAAAATTTTCTCAGCGTGGAATGGCTAACATTTTAAGCCAAGCAAATTACAATATAGTAATTTTTCCTCTAATGTGAGGGATTGCCTACATCAGACAATAATATGTATATATACTTATATGCTCAATACCGCAGCTTTGATAAAAGTGCTATTTCAAACTTCAACATCAGAATCAAAATTAGGAAGATTTCTCAGAGGAGGCAATTTTCCTAACCCATTACCTCCCAATTCTGATACGTTTTTAATAGGGGTCAACCTTCCTGGGATAGAACCGGATTGGAAAGAGTGTTCTGATATGATTTCTTCCGCGCCAGGGTCAATTTTATTTTCTTTTTCCGCTTTTTTTTCTTTTTCTTTGTTATTTTTTCAAGATCTGGACTCCCAGTACTTCCAGTATCATTATTTCCTTGCATTTCAACAATAGATTTATGCTTAAGAACTGGCGTCGTAGTTGTACTGTCCCTTAACGATTCCTGGGATACTTCATAAACTGGAGTGGGGACGTCTCTGACAATATCTCGTAAACTGGCCGCACTAAGTGACCGTGGATTATCCATTGCCCCGTTACCATCATTGTCACCATTTCCATCATCAAATTCAGAAGAAATCTGATTTTGCTGATTTGCTGTTTCAGAGAAAACAGTACTGGTTACAATGGCTCCAGGTAAATTGACAGCCGTCACGTCTGAGCGAGCACTTTGTACGGCAGTTACGACTTCATCATCATCCGAGTCGTCATCCATGAGAAAACCGCCGAGTCCAGATGTTGCATGCGTAGAAGATAGATTTTGAGCAACATCTTGTCTTGGTGTAACCACAGTTGTCGGTGATGAATCATTTGGCAATTCTTGGTAAGAAATTCCTTCTGGTCTAGGACGATCGCCTGAAGCATCAGCGTTTTCATTTTGGAGTCTTTCACGTTCCTCCCGAATCCGTGTTACACGTTCAATTCTTAAACGTCTCTCTTCTCCTTCGCGTATCTTTTGTTCTTCAACATCTTTTGTAATTCTCTCTTGAAGAACATTAAAATCTTTCCCTATTACATCTAAAAGCCACACAAAACCAGACTTAATTCCACGATCTAATTTCGGTTTCCGAATCTTCTTTCGACCTGACATTGGTAACGCAGAGCAGAGCACAACTTTGGAAAAAGATTCATTGCGATTAACGACTTCATCAAGATTTAGTCGATTACATATATCCAATTCATCCATCGCTTGAGGTTTATCTTGCTTATTTGCAAGTATTAAAACCGGTTTTCCACACAATCGATTATCAGAAATAAGGTTATCAAATATTTCCCTACATTCCTCCATTCTTTCTACATCCGCTGAATCGACGACAAAGATTATTCCATGAGCTTCAGCCATGTAATTATGCCATATATCACGTATCTTAGCTCCCCCACCGAGATCAAAAATTTTTATATTAAATTTTCCAGAGCGTAAATCCACGGAGGAAAATCCCATTGTTGGTGCAACGTCCGTGTTTGCTTCACCTTTGACCCCATGAACGGTTGTCGTCTTTCCTGCATTATCAAGACCAACAGCAAGCAGGGTCACACACTTTCTCTCGCTTTCCCCTTTTGCCCATGTCATACAGTTCCCCATTAAGCCGAACATAACATTTCTTATTATACCATGGTATTTTTAAAACATTAACTGTCATAAACAAATTGAGATGATAAATATAAATAGTATAAATCAGTGTAGTATATATATCAGAACGATTCCAATAAACCATTGAAAGAACCAAGAAACCCTTGATTCCATTATTATTAGGTATGTTAAAAAAAAATTAAAGTTCATCCGATTTAAATAAAAACTGCACCAGTGCATAGATCTAAGTGAAAATAAGAAAACAATACCAAGTTTGTGAAAAATGGTCAAGAATTAACGGAGATATCTGCATTTAAGTACCGCCCGATAGGCCAATTTTTTCCATAAGGATTGTATTGCGCCGACTCAAAAACTGTGACCGCGAGAATGTCAGACCGATAAACAACAGAATGTATCTCGGCTATTTTTGGAGGTAATCGAAAAAAATTTTGAACGAAAAGTTATTGTGAATAGAAGAACCTAATGCAAAAAAGTTTACAAATTCTTTTTAACGATATTAGCTGCTTTTCAATTAATTATGTACGAGAAAGTTTCTGAACTTTACATAACCTCTGGTCGGCAACGACTTTCCCAATACGCAAGTCCCCGCATACGCGGCAATTAAATGATTTAGCGTTTTTCATATCCGACCTTAATGAACGATTAATTATCATTTAATATTCCTTAACTCGTAGGAGATATACCGCGCTTAGTGAAACGCAAAACGAGAGAAATCGCTGCGAGGGAAAATGTCGGCATTCAGTCGATAACTGATGCGCGTTGACAGACGCGTGCTAAGATCATACTTCTCGTGCCTTGAATTAATTTGTACCGTTTCCTAAACGTATGCGAATTGACTTTTTTCAATAAGAACTTTAATAAATACAAAAAAACCACATATCAATCTTTAATTTTTCGATGTGCGTCACATCTAAGAAAATTCAGATTACTTTAGGATTTTATTCTGGCAACGATCATTGAGGCCGTCGGAAGATCATCGCAAATCAACCCTGGAGTTGAGCATATTAGTTTGACAGTGCCTCGTTGCCGGTAATAATTAACGATGTTCTGATTGAACAAACTTCATAAAAATTGGTAAGTATCAAGTTAGGAATGACATACATGCGTCCATATATATATTTATTGGTGTCCATAGACAAGATCATTAATTTGCAGTACGTATAACTTTAGCGTAATTTTTAAAAGCCCCGAATGTTGGGAAATTTATGCGCTAATGAAAAAATTCAAATACCAAATCATAGTTGCGCATTTTATCTAAGTTATGTCCAAATTTCATGGAATTCCAAACAACAGCAGGCAGTCCGTAGTCGTTTTTATGAGCGGTATACTGACACGGCGTTACGGTACTTAGCAGACGTGGTGCGTACATTTTTTGGCGCGAAAAAGCGCGTTTTGTAACATTCCTATTATTATATTATAACAGTACAAACCGCTCTTTTAAGAGACGGTCTACGTATCTGGTATGACGTAGTCAAGCGGGGGTTACGAATCACATATGCAAAAATGGTTATGCCAAGCCAACTAGAACAGTACGGCACACTATACAGATCGATCGACATTGTCTCGAAAACCATTTTACCGATAATCCTACACCCCTCCTCTGGGAGACGTCTGGACATCATTGTCCCTCAATATCAGTAAAAATACAGTATAATAAAGTTGCGAAATCATACAAAGGAAGAAGCGCATTCTAAAAACGTGATCATCGAATTCCTCGGGAAAAAATAATCCGATTTACTGAGGGAAAAAAATTTTCACCGTGGCATTCGAGAGTTTTTAGGAAAAAACGGCAATTTTGGTAACGCGATAGGCCAGGGATGGCCAATTCGAATAAAGTATTCGAATGTATTCGAATAACGCATCATTCGAATATCGGAATTCACGTTCATAAGAATATCGGATATTTGTGTGACGTCACACATTTTCGACGCCGCTTTCAAGACGTTTCCGTTGAATGAAAACATTCTCGATAGAAACTTGCGCGTGATTGTTTTCATCACTCATCAGCGTAACGTGTTTTTTAGGCCCGTAAACACCTTTACGACTGTGTTATTTTCTCTAAAACGAAAATTTTCCACAAATTTGTTCCACGATAACGATAACATTCATTTTATTTTTGTATGCACACGGAATTGTGAATCTGGTAAATACGTTCATCGGCGGCGAGTTTCTAAAGACAACGCAGCTTTTTGATTGAAAAGCGCGAAAATTTGAAAAACGCTTTTCTAGGGAATGAAAATCGCAAAGTTTCGTGTGCCTCTGGCACACATTATGTTTGGTCGGCGTTTAGAAACATATCGTCACTAGTTGAGGGCGGGATTTGCCTGATTATCCATTACTTTAAATTGCCGTCGAATATTTTCGTGTTAACACGATACAAGGTTTGAAACGCGACTTTTTCCCTGGTTGTGAGGATGTATATAATATAATTAATCTAAAGTATATTCAATCAATTTTATTGTAATGAAATAAATTTTACTCTGAGATATTTTACTCTGAGCATTTCGATCGAGCGGAGTCACTGTTAACATCTAAATATTAAGTGCATCTAAATATTTGCCGAATTCGCAATATACGGATAAAAACAATATTTAATCGGACAGTTTACCTCACGTTTTCATTTTTATGGCCGCGGTTTGCAACGGTATATAAGAGTTGTGGGGATTATATTTTGTCCACGCAACCGCAGGATAAATTGAAGACAATTAAATTAATAAGAGCAAGACATTTTAAATATGCCCGTGTCGGTCACGAATTCATCACTTTGCACAACAGAAAAATATATATTCGTTGTTATATTATTTGTTGTAAAAGTCGACTCTTTTAACAGGTGGTATAATCGCGGCGATGAATATGTATTTTTAATTTACTGCTAAACTTTATATGTATATTCATTGTATGAAATGAATTGATCTCTACACTTAACAGGATTTTATATAATTATTTGAGATTTTTCTAACGGCGATAACGAGTTGGCAAGATTGCAAAAATACATATTAAAATTAAATACATCAGGCAGTTTATCTCGTACTTTTAGGTCACAGATTGCCGTGAACCGAAAAGTAATGTTTTTTTTTGACGTAAGAAGAAGCAACCGCGAGCTATGCTGGACACATTAAATTAATATATAAAGATATTTTAGAATCTCGTAGTTGTAATGGATTGAATATTTTACGCAACAGAATGATCATAATACGCTGACAAGACGACTCTTTTAACGAGTGCGGAATCGCGGTAGGTGTTACAGGCGGCAATGGGAATTTCCGATTTCGAAAATCCTGGCTGCGCGCTGGCAGTGGTGGTCATCTCTACTAATTTATTTCTAACTCCAAACACAACAATATGTTACACATAATAACAATAGGATTCACATAAATTTATATACAAATATACTGGTAGGTAGTAAATACTCTAGGCTTAAATATTAGAATTTTTAAAAGCATGATTGATTTTCGATTGTTGTTGCCTGTATTGCCAATAAATTTTATTACTCTCAGAAAATATACACAATTATCTGAATACAAGTAGTATTTTTGTCAATAGACTCGACTATTATCGTAATATCATGGTACCAATGATAGAAAGCGTCAGACAACTCCTTGGCTATCTTTTCATATGGTCATTTGTACAAAGTGAATAATTTTAATAAACTGACTGTATCACAAGTTGCTATTATTTTTTATTAATAGCTATAAACTATCAATTACTTTGTGTACATATACTGTTGGTCTGTGGCTTCATTCTGATATTTCTATTGAAGCTTATTTCCTAATTTATTGGGTTTTAATCAACTAAAACAAAAATGTGTTATTTTCGATTTTAGAATGTATTCGGAATTCCAGATTCGAAAACATTCTTTTAGAATGTATTCGGAATAGTTTAGTATTCGGAAATGGCCATCCCTGGCGATAGCCATGATTAATTTCGATTATTATTGAGACAAGCATGGCGCGATATGATTACGTCACTACGACATCACAATCACGTCATAGAGCATGCCAAATATACATACGATCTCCCGAAATGACATCAGCTTCAACAATAAATAACTGACTAACGTCATCAAGAGAAAAATAGCTGTTCGATTTCTGGTACTCGTCTGCGCGTCTTGGATGACAGTTCGTATAATTGGAAGGGCTTTATTAGGTCACTGTGACGTCGTAGTGACGTAATTTTTGGATAGCGTAGTCAGGTGAGGGTTAGGATTAACACATGGAAAAATTGTTATGCTACGCCCACTAGAAGTATGATAGGTACGAAACTACATGAGACACGAAAATCTTATATCAAACAATTATTTATTAGTAAAACGGAAACTTAAATTGACATGTCCAAATCCTTAAAACAATATTGTAATGCAGTGATATCACTGTACAGCTGTATCAGGTTCAATTAGTTTTTAAGAATATCCAGTACCGGTATTTATCTTCAATAAATTTCGAAAAAATTACTTCTGTACTTAGACTTATCCATTTATTTAGTTTATACAGTTATATGAATATATACAACTAACATTGAAATTTTCACAGAATAAATATTGACTAGAATCGTTTAGTCAGTTCAGCAGTTTGTGATCGCGAACAATTCACAAACTCAGAAACTACAATACGGTACCTACCGGTACCGTGGTACGGTAACCTAGAAATATTGTTGGAAAAATTAACCGATCGAGAGTTACAGGTAGGTTTTGGCTGTATTGTAAGTTCTATTTTTATCACACAACCCACAACCTACCGGTACCGGTACCATTCGTCTAAATTCGCTCAGCAACAGCAAAATTACCGGTACCGCGAATAATAAAAAAAACTAAAAATTCAAAGAAATTAACTTATCAAAAATATTTTCATCGCCTTTTATGCTATTCAGGGAGTTGAATAAACTCCGACTATACAACTTATTCTTACCCTTGTCTTTCTGAGTAGGTCTCAAGCTCAGGGGATATATTGCTGAACCCTGGCACCGCCAAAACAAAGACTAAATACGGATTGTTATGAATTAACCAGTTAGCCACCTGGCAACTTTGTTTACTTTCTCATTACTATGACTGAGATCAATGATGCAGAACGGCAAGCGAGCTCATTGACGCCATCTATCAATGGTTGCAACACCTTTCATTGAAGGTTTCGACAAGTTTCGGTGTGAACATGAACTTGTTAAAAACTTAAAATATCGATGGTATGGGAAATGCGGAAGATTGTGTCAATCAGACATTACGGAGCAATATAAAGGGGACACTTAAACGCGGACTGTAGTACCATGACTCGATCGTTTGCTATCGAAAAATGTATCAACTAAATTTCCATATCATTTGTGAATATTAAGCTCAGATTAAAGTTTTAATATTAAAATATAAACCAATTGCAAAGCCCTCACCATCGCAATTTGACTATTCCAGTTCGAGTTTAGAAAGAGGAGAATAGTTCAACATTCCAGATACGTAAACGTGGTTGGATGGCTAATTGAGTGGACCACTTTGAGGCAATAAACATACATCCAACCAGTGGCGTATCTACGCAAAATGGCGCACATGTCAAAGTCTAAAAATGCGTCTTCTTGATAGTTGTTTAACAATTTATATTGACTATTATTGAATTGAGATATTTGTACGTTATTATTTGAATAAAAATACGAGTTTCGGTTACTCCCTATTTAAAATTATTATTGAAACTTTTTTGATTAATACTTTTCGTCGTTTTTCTGCCCCTGTTCAAACGGCGCCCATGGCATGAGCCATGGCTGCCACACCCTAGATACGCCACTGCATCCAACCCCATTCGATTGCGAAATGCTCAGAACAATCATGACGGACGCTTCTCCGTTCATAGTTACATACTTCGCCGAAACTTTTTCGTGCGGAAGCTTTGAATCTTCTTCTGAAGAGGGAGATTCTGGGTACGTGCTTGTGCAATACCTTTGGTTTCTTATTAGGACCTTGTTTGGAGAGAAAAGCATACATACGGGTCGTATAAAAAATATTGCCTCAATTTGATAATGATCATATAAATTATGCAAGCAAATCGGACCTATCCGGCCACCGAGATTGGTTTTAGTTTTAGTTGATGCAGTTTTGTCCAATCTCAATGCATACCTCCTCTCACTGACGCGGCTTTTCCATTTTACACCTAGTCTAGCAAAAACTAGACTACCCACTATACCCACTCAAATACCCAGTATATAATTTCCCACTATAAACAATCGCCTAATGTAGTTTTTTTATTGTTCATATTGTTTATTGTTCATCTTTTAATAACATTAGTACGTCATAGGGTGTCACAACTAGATAACCTCTTGAGGTTTTCTGTGATTCCCTTCACACGTGAATAATGTTTTGCTTCTGTTTGTAAATGTGTCTTCACTTTTCACATGGTGATGAATACATATAACATACTTGCTTACAAAGAAAAATAACGCGTCATTCTGCCCGCGGTGTTTCTTCTTTGCCGTTTCGGTGCTCCCGAAGTATGCGAACCAAGATGGCGGACACCGGAACGTAACATGGGTAACAGGTTAGGGTTAGGCGATAATTTTTTTCCAATTTTTCTTATTTTAGTCCTATTATCAGTTCGAAGACTAGCCAAGAGTCTCCCATAGTATTTATACCTGAAATTATGGCTTAATCCTAACCTAGTACACATATTACATTCCGATGTCCGTCATCTTGGTTCGCATACTTCGGGAGCCCCGCCGTTTCTAATATATGTATATGTCCTGATAAAATCTGCAAATTCAGTACCACGCCAATTTTTATTTTGATGATTGTATTTTGTAGAAAGTTGTGAAATGACAAACAAAACCTCCGCTTAGACAAAATATCATCCATCTTGTAAATATTGCAATATTTCTCTATGATATAGTAACAAAAATCAAAGTAAATTGCACAACTAGTAGACATTATACAATTGTACATTCATACGCCAATATCAAGGATATGAAAAAAATTGGCACCAATGCCAAGTATTTTCCGTTATATCAAGGATCCATGAAATTGACGAGAATGTATCTCGTTCCTTTAGTTGTTGGAAGTCCTTCGTGATAATGTGTCAATCTACCCGGATGTAGAATTCCCCAGCCTTTGGGAAGGTCAGTAACTGAACAGTTATATCTGAGAAATCTTGCTCCGCCTCCCTAAAACGAAGTGATAGAATATGCATAGTTGATTCGTAAGGGGCATTATAAATTCCATATTGTCTGAATGTTAACCAGAGAGAGTGGGTGTACGAGGCTATCAATGGCATTACAATAAGATAGCATTTGTCTCCGAGAATGTTCTGGAATTGGTTTAGTTAGACCGACTATATATTCTGCCGATTCGGTCAAGAAGATATAAGAACAACAAGTAGCAGGTCCGAGAACCAAAAAAATGCTCTCATAAAATTGCTACGCAACATTAGAACTTTACCTCGTAGTCTATCTTCTGTGTATTAAGTGCTATATTTATTGTCCATGTTGCATGGTCGTGATGGGGTGCCAGCAGAGGTTGTTCTGTAGGTTTGTATCGTACAATGAACATCGTTCTAGAATACCCCTGGAATAAAAAATAAAAAATATTCTTGGAATATGACTATTCACGTTTCTTTTTTGCCATCCAGTAAAATAGTAGTATATATGCGAAATTCTAAAGAATAAAATTGAACACATAATTTAATTGAGAAGAGAAGACGCGGGGTAGGGAAGTTGTTTATCAAGCAGCGACACCCATGGTTCAAGTATGCAATTGAACATTTGTAAGGCCGAAAATATTGATTGTCGGAGTACTGCTCTATTATTGATGAGCGTGGCTTTGGCAGTTAATCGACCAACATCGCGTACTGCAGATTATATGAAATTATGATTCGATCCGCTGGTGGTTAAGAAGGTATTCCCCGATGAGCAGGCTTACAAGAAGCAAAAATGCAGAATCGAGTAAATGAATGAAAGAGCTTGGGTGGGAAGTTACCGCTGTCAGCTCAGTCATTTGTTTGTGTTATTTGTGAAGAAAGTGTGGCGGGGACTACGCGAACGCGTTGAAAATCAACTGGGGTCTTGAGAAATAGTTACCGTATTTTACTGAATATAAGACGCACTCATCAATAAATTGCTCAGATTTGGATATTTGATTTTGTCCATACATAGGGCGCATCAGACACAACCGGTACTCGTTTCAAGTATATGCAATAAAGCACTACCTGATCCAAACATTAAGCATATCAGATTTTTGAGAAAAACTTATTTGGTGTTTAAAGCGTTTTTTTTTTCAACGGCGTGTGTGAGCCAAATTCGACATAGCGACATTTCCGGGTCGGAGTTCGAATTTCGAACTAACAAAAGTTCCAAATATAAGTCTCAATTTTTCAACTGAAACAATACTCGTAGATTGCAACATTTTTGTGATCAAAATTTTCTCATCACAGACTTGGAAAGTGGGTTCGAAAGTCAAATTTTTCGACTAGGAATCAGATTCGAAGTATTTGGTAGCCAGGAACTCAATACCGATGTAAACGGTAAAATTTTGCAGCAAAAATTCGGGTGCTTCAGAAGTGTTTGTACCAAGATGGCGCATAACCTGAACATAGTATGTGTATCAGGTTAAGGTTGTTCAGTTTGTGCGTCATCTTGGTACGAATACTTCCAGAGCGCCATAATTTGTCCCATTATCAATCGGGGTTACCCGAGATTAACTACCATTCTTTGCTTTATGCTTTTATGCATGTCGATTTGCATGCGTATAGGATGTTAAATAGCAAGAAAGAAGATGACAATTCTATTTGATTTGAGACTAACGTTACGTCTGACCCAGTTCTGACATCTTCAAACAAGTACTTTTCAACCATGACAAGAAAAGCCAATGGTAACCAATGGTTACCAACTGTTAGATAACGTTTCGTCTGAGCTCTTGAATCAGATAAAATGTATCTCGTAGAATACGAGTATAACTTGGATTTTAGGCCATGTTTTACTTACATCGGCACCATATCCTGGAAAAACTTTCTTGAGGACTTTCTTAGGGTATTTATTCATAAAATACAGCCATTCTTTATGAAAACCAAGCTGATCCATGCGGACATCAATAGTAGGTACGTTTTCATACCCGCCTTGAACTCTTGGATCCTACAAAGAAAAATGGTATTAATATGGTCAATTTAAAATTACTGCATTTGAGAAGTGAAAATTAAATTTTAACTAATAACAAAGGATAGTTATATCAAGCAGAAGAATGCGCGATGCGCTCGTTTGTTCCTACTGGTTCGAAGTAGTTGGCTATTTAGTCTGATTTAAATGGGTTGAAATCCTAAGGAGAGTAACGATTTTAATCTAGACCAGTGGTTCTCAAACATTTCAAGCCTTTTTTAGAATTTGTCAAATCTCGCGACCCACCTCAAAAATAACTAGCTAACAATAAGCTATAAATAACAGATAGTAAGGCGAAAATTTTATTCGTAAAACACGTAAAAAAATCTAAAATAAATGTAAATATCCAAAACGAGAATATCGGTCAGAGACCGAAGACTTATCGATCGAAAGTTAGGGGATCCCCAAAACAGCGCTCTTACTCCATAGAGACACCTTGTGTCCTATCACTAATTAATTAATAACTCGCTAATTATACGACATATTTTATCCAAAATCAATAGGCTCCTGGTACGGCATATGATGAATGCACATGCAAAATCTGGAGCAGATTCAATCTCGCTTTCGTGAGATATCGCGTGCATCTAACAGACAGACAAACAGACAGACAGACAGACAAATACCTATCAACATACTTACCGATTAAAATCGATAAGTAATAAGGCGAGCAGATCAAATCTTACGAATATTTTTCTATTTAGCTCCACGCCCCCTCAAAAAATTGTCTACGCCCCCCTTGCGTACGTTCCAGGCGCGCTCCATTGTTTGAGGACCACTGATCTAAGACTACACTGTTTGACCTGGTTTACAGGTATTCAAATCAAACTGCGACTTGACAAATTTACAAGGTATAACAATGATTGGTATGTGTACTAAGATGACGCACAACCTGAACATAGTATGTGTACCAGTCTAGGGTTATCAGGTTGTGCGACATCTGGTGCATATACTTCTAGTGCGCCCAATAAGTAATACACTGCACTTTAGCAAATAAAATTATACCTCATTTTTCCCACTTGACCAGATATTAGCTTCTTCGACAGTCTCAATCAGCTGGTCAGACAACACCTCAGATAGCAAAGGAAAGACATAGACATCAGGACAAGGCTGAAGAACCTCTGTGTCTGGATCAAGAACTTTATGGAAATCAGGGTGAACATATTTCTCTTCCCATTCCTGCAAAATTGGGTAGCTATTGTTATTCTTGAAAAATAAAACAAGGCAGGGGTGTGAAACCAGCGGCACGCGGGCCAAATGCGGTGCACTAGGAAAAATTGTGCGACCGCGGAGAAGTGCCAATTTTGAATGGTCTGCCTGCGAAACGAGTTTTTAATTTAGTTAATTATATATAGTACGTGCGAATAATTCCAATCTCTTTGCACTGCAAGAACTAATGCGAAGCGAACAACGCATGTCATGAGATCGATAACCAAAATTTTTGTGCCTACAACTACTAGAAAGCCCATGTTGATTAAAGGTGCGGCCCGCGCTTTCACCAAGTTATTTGTATCCCAGTTATATTAAAAATTTCACATCCCAGAAAATTGGTATCGAGTTCAACCTACACAGTGAATTTTCGTTTTCAAAAAAATTGATCCTATTGGTCAATTGATTGACCAGTCGTAACTTGCGGTTCTCAGCGGTTTGCGCATCCTTCTGAGCAAACGTTTTTCAACAAGGAAGAAATTTCTCCACGGCGGGAATTTTGCTTGTATTCGCTGTAGTAATACTAATATTCTTCAGTTTTTTATTATTACTATATCACTTATTCATGAACACATAATAAACTACTTGAATGGGAGTGCGACTTGTACAAAACACTATAGAAAAAGATTCATTAAATAGAATAGTTATGTGCAGAGGGAGGGCAGAACAAAATGTTCCAGAACAGGAGGTATTTAATGAGGATTTAACGAAAATGCTGGGAAGGTTTCCTGTGCCAAGTACTCACCTCTGATTACCCCACGCGGGTCCGAAGCAAGTTGGGGAAGAATTTTGTGCGACAGGATTGCTTAAAAACTAGTCAACTCATTTAGTCAAACTGACATAATTGACAACAAATATATGCTGAAAACACGCATCGCGAAAACTCCAAATTATAGATTCTGAATCACCTGTCTGTTTCTTTTTATCTCCCATAGGTCTGGATGAAGTTTATGTTTAATTTTGCCTATTTTATCTTTTTTGTCGTCATCGTCGTCGTCATCATCATCGTCATCGTCGTCGTCATCATCTTTAACATTCTCCGCACTTCTCTCGGCCATCAATCTTCCAAATTCTACTTCATTTGTGATGTACATAAAAACGTTCTGAATGTAGTGACAGTGTTTGTTGTTGGAATACCAAAATATACCAAAAGTGTTAAATCAACATGAGCAACTTAACCCCTTAATTTCTTTACGCCCTCCTAATGGACTTATCGACCTTTGACCCCAGTACAACTTTACCTATACAAAAATATATGCGTTTATTTCGCGAATTAGCGAATTGTAAAATGATTTGCCCGTAAAAATTTGCTATTTTTATTTAACATAAATATTTGATATTTATTGTGGTTGTTTGGACGAAAATGTCTCCTTTTTACGCTGCTACTGCACTAAATGCTGCTTCATAGGATACTATTTGGTCAAATTTTGATAGTTGGTGCTCAGCTAGCTAGCTACCAGCTTCGTGAACATATTTTGAACCTTTATCCTGTAAAATTTATAAGTAACGATAGTTTCAGAAATATTTATCGGTTCTTACCTGTTCTCGGATATTATGGCAAAAGCACATTGCTGCATCGAATGGGTCGTTGTCATAATCTAGCATCGTGCCATCGCCGTAAATCGTTGGTTCCCTTTTCGCCAAATTTCTGAGCGTTGAAGCTTTTATCAAATAGATCGAATCTATATAAGGAACGTTCCAAATTCCCCTGAAAGACAGAGAAATAGGTTAACAGAGTTAGATGGTTCACGTAACCGCTGGTCAGTAACGGCTTCCTCGATCATCGAGTCCATGCATCTGAAACAAATACTCGGCTAACTGATCCCATACCCGACATGCAGTGGTGGGATTCAGCCGGTTCGCACCGGTTCTATAGAACCGCCTCACGGAATTTTGTGAGATCAGCGAACCGGTTAAAATAACTGGTTACTGTCAATGTTCTGTTTGTAACAGAACCGGCTAAAAAATATGACTTTTGCGATGGAACCGGCTGACAAAAAAATTGAATCCCACCACTGCCGACATGGACTTGTAACCGGACGAGAGTCTGTTGTTTGCCATATGATTAAGCTATCATAACGGTTTTCCCCTCCCCCAGAATAAATATGAAAATCCTATTCTATTATGATGCACGCGCGATGGAAATGAGCGGTGTTTAATGCATGAGAAAATATCGCACAGTTCATATATGTGGTATTGAAAGTTTCTAAAATATAAAAACAGCCCGGAAAGGAATGTGACTTGTGACTGATATATGAATCTGCACCGCCGAGGCCGAATACTAATTCAATTGCGTTTATAATTTTCACCGCAATAAAATGAAGGTAATAGAATTTAGACAAACAACGTTATTTTAAATGCAATGGAAGCCTTGCATTTTCTCGTGGTGTTGGAGCTGATACCGGAGTCATATTTTCATAGACTCCGGATTCGGAAATTCTGATATTCAAAACTCAGTATTCCAACTTTCAAATGAGGCAGCAAATGCCAGGCCTTCCAGGCCATAGACTTCTAGATCAAAATTTTATTTTTTCGAAGCCGAGCTTGAGTTTGTGTCAACACTTTTGTAAGGTGAAACTCTCTTTACTACCGGAACCTTTTTTTTTCTAATTTGGAGCAACCTCCATTTGAGTTTTGAGTTTGAGCTGTTTCTGAGCTTTTCAGTTTATTTGGTTAATTCAGTAATAACCACCGGTCTGTTATCACAAAAATCATAACAGGAACGTACTTTGCAGTTAACCCACCTTATTTCGGCATCAACGATGAGATCATAATCTCTAGATTTTTTGTAGAAACCGTTTCTTTTGACCGCTCCCCAGAAATTAGACCAGTACCGTCTATACTTTTTCACAACAGGTGCTATGAACTGAATAAACGTATTTACATGTTAGAATCCAAGTAATTGGGTCTTGAACTCAAGACTATAAAGCAGGCGTGGGCAAAGGTTTTGGACCAGGGGCCAGAACTTTTGCCCACCTAGACTGGCGGGCCATCTAAGTGTGGCTTAAAAAATTCCATTTTATAAACAGAATGGTAAGAATGGGTGAACAAAGAAGAACGTTATGGGGACGTTAACAAAACTTCGGCACTAAATTGAAACTCGAGACTGCGCTTGTGAAAAGCACGCGGTCGAATCGAGTGAGCGAGAAAACGTAAAGTTTTGTTAACGTCCACATAACATGAAAGTCTGTGGCAATCTAAAATACAACTTAAACAGACTACGACCATTATCTAACAAGCCTATTGCACAATACTGATTTCAATAACAACAACTATGTAGTCCATTGAAAATTTGGTTAAAAAGGGAAATTTATGGCAGCATCCAGCAGGCCATATTGAATCACTCAAGGGGCCGGAGTTGTGTTGTGGGCCGGAGTTTGCCAATGTCAGCTATAAAATTTTGTACATGAACAATGGACTCACCTGCCTGTCTTTTTCCATGAGAAATTTGAGAGTGCTTGTATTAGTAATTTGTACCAAAGAATCAACATTGAAAAAGTAGTCGCAATTGATCTTTAAGCAATGTTTTCTAAAAATAATTGTGCATGATTATGCATGGTGTTAATGTTTGGTTGCTCAATGACGCTTCTGCGCAATAAAATTGTAATATGGCGCCATGGTTTAGTTTAAAGCATCGCTCTTTTTTTTTTTTCAATGTTCCGTTATCAGAACAGGTACGAATATTTGAATAAATTTTAATACTTTTCTTTCGTACTGTATTACGGTAGAAATCGTATTGTATAATTGAAAAATTTAAAACTTAACACCGTTCGCCTTAGAGCCTGATATTTAACACACTGTGAGAGGGGTATGATATTAAAACTCGCTTTCTATTTTTAACTTGCGACCCCAACCTGTAGGACAGTGGTTTTCAACTTTATTTGTGGAGTGGAACTACGATGAAACCTTCCAAAGGATGGAGAAAGCGCCCAATGCAGGCTGCGTATATTAACTTTGAATATATATGAAAATAAAACTAATACTGGCAAATTTATTAGGTATTTAATTAGATTTGATCAACATACATATACCAATATAGGAACTAGGAAGCAAAGGTAAACTCGCGGAACTTCTGGACGGCATCGGCGGAACCCTAGGGCGTTGGTTAAAAACTACTGCCATTGAGGCCCAGGCAAGTACATAGCAAAACGGTACATATCCAATATCAATGTATATTGTACTATGACATATTACAGAAAAAAATGAAATACAGTGGGACAACTTACACTGCCAAATTCCGTTGAGTCCATTCGTCTTTGTTGTCATGGTACCCAACTGAGACAACAGATTTGTACAAATCTCTGTTCCGAAGTAAAAATTTCGATACCCAACGTTCATTATCTCTTTCCTGAGTAAAATGAAGAATCATACAACAATCTATTCTCTGCAATAAAGTGTTGCGAGAAGCATCTAACTATACCAGCATCTAAGACTAAAGCGGTCCAAATAACCTAGGTCTAATCTCTCGCCGTGCGGCATTTAGGTGAGATGTGCCAAACGGATGACAATACAGCCTTTTCAATACATAACGTATAATTGACCGCTTGGAGAGAGGTGCGTAAAAGTACTTTCGAAACTTAAACAAAATAAATATGTGGACGAATAGTGATGTAAATAAAATTATTGTTTTTTACATGTAGGCCTATTAGGAACGAAGGAAAATGTTCTTCATTCGGGACTTGGTTATCGCCCATGCTTATATATGTACGTGTTTGATACTCCCCTAGAATATGTACCATGTTCGGGTTAGGCCATAATTTTATTCCAATTTTCCTTATTTTAGTTCTATTACGAGTTCGGGGACTGTCTGTGTTAGTCAAGTGAATATATCCCCTGCCCATAGGTTTCAGTCCCTTCATACAACTTGATGTAAAGTAGTCGAACAAAATTACACACAGTTCTGGAGCGCCCGTTTTTGTCTTTTTAAATTTAGACATTTAAAAAATAGACAGATATATCTTCTCTATAATAACATACCATTGAATGTATATACAATGATATTCTTGATTTGTCGTAATCCAGATTGACAATTTTTTTGAAGAAATCTTCGATAAAAGGAGATCCTTTTACCACAAATATGGCAAGTAAAACGTGTGGTGTCGTTTCCTGTAATATAGCCAGTAATCATTAGTTTATTTCTATTTGCTGAAAAATACGCACTGTACATTTAGAATTATAAGTTAAGCTAAAAACTCATTTTAATGTTTTGATTTTTAGGAAATGAAGTTACTAACATTTCAGATAGCGTCGGCCTTAGTTCTATCTATTATGGTAATCTTGGACCCAGTTCCAACAAAACGTTACGGCGCACAGCCATGGCTGAGAGACTAAGTCTCAGAGGCGTACCAGGTAATTTTCAAATGGGGGGAGGGGCGGAAATTTCTCACTGCCAATTCCGACCGTAACAGCTGGAAGGTCGTAGGACGTTTTTTGGAACCCGGGTTTTCGAGAGCCTTGAGGATCTAAAATGCGTTTCAAGCTATGGAAATATGTGTGGGGGTGATGTAGCAATGTGGGGGGGGGGGGGGGGATCCGCCCCTAACCCCCTCCCCTGCCGAGTGTAGCTGGCGCATGATATATAAATGCTCATCTATCAACTCAATGACCGTTAAGATCTATCACCTGTCATGGGTCACCCTCTAAAATCGCGACCCTCTGAATTCCCTAATCAGGGTAAACGAAATCACAAACCTTTGATGTGAAATCGAGCACAAGCAGATCTTGCTGACAAGTTAAGCAAATTCCTTCCTTCAAATTCATTCCGTTTGGAATGTAGTTACCAAGATGATTGATATGAGCCTGTAAAATATAGTTGGTAGCTTGAATATAATGTATTTCAAATATATTTAATGTTAATATAGTAGTAGTTTATAAAATATTTTTCAAATTGAAAAATGTTGACCACGAAGTCTTTAGAGTTGAAAGGTTATTTTGATTTATATGCCAGCAAAGTAAGCCCGAAAGTTCGTTCCAAATGATTACTTATCTGAATTTTTGACTTGGAGTTTCTATAAATTTTTACTATTCTGTACTAAGATATGTTTATTGTAACAAAATGGTCAATTGCTTCTTATTTGTGAATTATCTCCTCTAAATCGTATTGCTAAAAATATACATACGTGTTTTAGAATTTAGATTACAAATTAACAATCGACCTGTAGCTGACTTTATACTGAATAAATTATCATCATAACTTTTTTTAATGCTTTCTCGTGAGAGCGATGACCTAGTGGTTAAACCATTGGGCTGAACTAAGTTGGCATCGTGTAGGTTAGAAATCTCGTGTTCAATTTTTTTGTTAATTAGATAATTAATATATAGAACACAGTTGATAAGTACAGTTACAGGATTATTCATCACTAATCATAAAAAATAAACACGCACAATAATATAAAAACAATAAATTATTGTATATATATATCTTAAAATTTTTCATTTTGATCATGTTCTTATTTTTCGCCATTTTTGTATGCAATGTGCCATTTAATCTCGTAAAAACATCATACAGTTTTTTTTTATTCTTATCTTACAACGATATAGATAAAACCAGGCCCCCGCTCCCACCACCCCACCCAAGGTGGAATACCACCGGCAAGGGATGCAAAACCGGAAAGACCCCCGTCATTCCAAACCATACCCATCGGCGGAGATGTGGCGAATTGTGCTAAGCGTTAGGAATACGCTCGCCACCGCACCTCTGATTACCATGCGAGAGTTCGCAGGTATGAATCCCGTGTGGGGTATTTATATGCGAGAATATTGCCGGACTTTTCGCCGCCGTAGGGTGGTTCACGTAACCGCTGGTCGGGTACGGCTTATTGGCTTTCTTCTTCCTCGGGATAAATATGTAAATCCCATCCATATGAGCTCCTTACACAGTAATGGATGGTCGTACATAAGCCTCGTTAGCAGTGAATAACGTGTTACGTGTAGTAACGTGACTGACTGACTGATACATCGCATATAAAAATTGGTGATCTCGAAGTATTCGTACCAAGATGTCGCTCAACCTGAACATAGTATGTGTACCAGGTTAGATTTGTTCAGGTTTTGCGTCATCTTGGTACGGATACTCTGATTTCATTTGCTATTTCGTACCTTTGCCTTCCCGGTGCCCTGAGTGACGATAGGAAACGTTTCATTCTTATAAGAAACGATAAGTGCATCAGATTCGCCTTCAATTGACGTATCATTCTCCTCTGAAACAGAAATCAATTTGAAACATTCGTGGGAATGCACTCATATTGGTACTCCCGTAGTATGTGCAACAAGATGGCGGACACCGGAACGTAGTATGTGTATCAGATAAGGATTAGACCATAATTTCAGGTACAAATACCACGGGCGTCACTTGGCTAAAGTCTCCGAACCCGTAATAGAACTAAAATAAGGAAAATTGAAATACAATTATGGCCTAACCCTAATCTGATACACATACTATGTTCAGATGTCCGCCATCTTGTTGCACATACTACGGGAGCGCCCTTAGATTTTATACTCTCATATCCATCACTACAATACAATTATGTTAATAGCTTATGCAGTAAGACTTCTCAATGACCCTCTTATCAGTTTGACTTTACTCTTTGATTGCAGTTACCAAAACTTCTCAGATATGGACAAAAATTTGCATACTATTTATAGCAATTTATAGTATAAGAACAATAGACAGCGATGTTCGTTACAAGTTCCTAAACCCCCGGCCACTAATAGGACTGGGATATAGGTATATGTGGCATTTCCAACTATCTGATGATTACAGAATCAAAACGAATATTTTTTGAGGATCTGGAATACTTGAAAAATATGTAGTTTTTTTTTAACCCTTTTTTTCCGCTGTATACAATCGACTTTATGTACCATTTTATAATATGTAATGACCAGTTAACCAAACGTACAAGGAACACCCCCAATATCTCTTTAAAAAGCTTATTTTCGCGCCTTCCTACTAAAACGCGCCCAAGTGACGTAGGCGAAACCGTTCGACCCTACGCGTGTAAGAAGAGAGAAATTTCAAAAATTTTTGAGAGAACGTTTCACACTCTTATCGCTTCGATGAACACGTGTTACAAAGAAACGAAATTCCAAGCGCTCTTCTGAAAGAGAGTTACGTCCCCTTTGAAGAAAAACCAGACTCAGCTTCGCAAGCGAAGCGAAACGCGAAATAATCAATGATATGTGAGAGCATGTCCACGATAGTTGTCTGGAATCTTTGTTTGTTTATTATGTGCGCGAAATTGTTTCCCGCTCGTTCAAATGACTTATTTTTGAAGTAATGACAAATACTTTCGTGTATCTCTAAGCTTTGAAATACCTACACAAATAAAATTCACTTAGTAGTAAAATAAAAAATTTACAAAAAAACAAAATGTTGACAGATCAAGCACGGATCATAGTTGGATGCTCAAAATGATTTAGTTGGTGCGGAATACTTCACAAAACATGAACATAAACGTAAAATAGTCCGAAAATAACTATTATGACCAAGGATGGTAGTACGAATATATATGTTATACGGAACAAAAGAGTTAATTGTATTCGAATCGATTCAAACGGGAATTTCGAATCGCTGCCATTTTTTTTGTTCGCCCGCAGATCGATATGAATTTGGAGTAAAATAGGTTAACGTATGTAACACCAGCACTTCCAATTGTAAACAACAAAACTATACTAAAGCGGAAGAGAAAGACTCACTCTCATTTTTATTTTATGTCAAATTTTAAAAATGCATTTCTAACATATGACTTTTTTCTTCCGAATGAGTCTATAGTGTGAGAGATATTGAGGAAACATGTTTCGTATTGTGTGTGAACACTTGGTGAACTGTCTGAGTGATAGATTGAGTGTTTGCACTGATTTATATGTCCAAAGGACCCATCACAATAAAACTAATTTCAATGACTCAGACTTGTCCTCAACTAACCGCCAGTGAGACTCACCCGCCAGTCGTGATTCAGATTACACGACTCGTTTGACTAATGACTAGGGCTGGGCATTTCGAATCGAATGGTGAACGACAACTTGCAGCTTCGATGAATGGTTGGACGAGTCTCTCGATTCGATGACTCGGGCCTCTATAACACTGATGATGTGTATGGGATATCATATGTCAGAAGCGAGCTTAGCGTTGTGGACTTTCCTCCCTATACCACGTCTTAAGCAAACACTCACCGTCAACTGTTATCATATTATTGAAAATCTCTCTTTCGGTGTCTAAAGTTGCGTTCCATTTTTTCTAAAAATACAAAAGCAATATGTTTTTTATACTTCGTAACTAAAAAGGGCCATATGGAATAACTTCATATACGAGAGCTTTACCTTGCCAATATTCTGTTAAATTTGGTTCAAGAATTGCAATGCTAGAATACGATGTTCCACAATACATTCAGTGGCGCTCCAGAAGTATGTGTACCAATATGGAGGTAACTAATTTTGTTCGCCTACTTTACATTAATTTGTATAAAGGGACTGATACGTATGGGCTGGGTATATATTCACTTGGCTAACACAGACAGTCTCTGACTCGTGATAGAACTAAAATAAGGAAAATCGGAATCAAATTATGGCCTAACTCTAACCTGGCACACATACTACGGGAGTACCCATTCAGTGAACTCACATTTGGTGGGCTCAGAAATTTGTTATAGAAATAGGTTTTGGTTATATCCATTCCCAACACGGTTGATTTTAGAAATAATTTCCGATCCCATTGTACCAATAGTGTTTTAAACTACTGCCATACGGCAGTACTTTTATACACAAAACCTGCCAAGCTTTGTAATGTTAAGCCTCAAGGAATATGAATATACGTATTTTTGAAAATAAGTCCCGATTTTAAATCATCTCACTTCGTTATTACCGCCTAACTCTCACAATTTCGCTTTTTATATAAATCAGTATATTCTATCATTATACCTTAGATTTGGAATTCCCATATAACAACGTTAAGTATCGCTGTTCCTCCTCTTCTTCCGAATCTTTCCATTGACTGGCAAGTGTCCACATTTCTTTTGCATATCCGATCATGCCACTCTTCGATATGTAATAATCTCCTAGTTTTATCGGAAGTACGTCGCTCTGTTTAACGAATAGTCAAATTTTATTTGCATAGAAATAAATTCCGGAATACGGCACCGCTCCACAAGTATTTTAATTTATTTTTTACATTCAAGTTCTTATTCCAAAATTAATTACCGTAGTATTAAGTATATATATAAGCATTTGAGATAATGAAAATGATTAAAAATCATGTGTGGTATGTCAGTATCATTTATAGTTAAAATTTTGGGCCATTTGAATATGAAATGTGAATATGAAATTTACGATCACCCTGATTCCGAATATGTTGGTATCTATTACCAGTGGTGGGATTTACTTTTTTGTCAGCCGGTTCCTTCACAAAAGGTATATTTTTCAGCCGGTCCTGTTACAACCAGAACATTGACAGTAACCAGTAATGCTAACCGGTTCGCTGACCGTATAAAATTCCGCGAGATGGTTCTATAGAACCGGTGCGAACCGGCTGAATCCCACCATTGTCTATTACCCACAATGAGAAGAGTACACTTGACGACAGAACAGTGCTATAGGCATGTGACTTATTGGACACTAAATGAAAAAGATTCAATACTACTTTGTTTTCGCTTTCATGTCCATAATTTTGGACATTGCTCTTCTAATGGACAAGAATTGGACCTACGGATCGTTTTGTTATTATTGTTTTTGTTGATATTTTTATTCTTGTTGTTATGAAAATATCGCTTTTCTGCTACTGGACCAATTCCTTTGAAATTTTCATTGGTTAAAATTGTATTTTTTGCTAGAATGCTATCGCCTTCAATAATTTCAAAAACTTTCTGTGGGCTCTGTGATCTCTTCAAAATTAATAAAAATTATTTGTAGCGGTTCTTCGACCTCTCTCGTGCTACGCGAAAGTCGGAATATTTTTGACGTTACCGGTACCGTAAAAGGAAAGGTAGACTACTGCTACATATTTGTGCATCGATTTCTTGTTACAGAACTAATGCTTTCAACGGCATCACCGCGAAATTTAACGATACATTGTCCTAAGACTTCGCTACTTACATTGTCTTGTTCTGGTGGCGTGCTCTCAGAAGAAAACACAATTCTTGAATTCATCGTTAAAAACTTTTCCAGAATTTTATCTTTCCCTTTCGCAAGGATCGTATTCTCACTAAATATAAAAATAAACTAAATTAATTTAAGAAAAACATGCATTGTCAATATTGGCGATGTGTGGTAGTAGACACGATTTGGACAAATACTATGTAAAAACTACGCTATACCTGAGGGAAATAGTACATATTTTTAGAACTTTCCAAGATATATTTCTTGATGTTACCGTACGCCCGTGCTTTTTATTAAAATTGTAACTGCTAGACATTAACGTATATATATTTACTTTACATGGATATACGCTTCTTGTAGAAAATGACGAGGAAGAGCCATTTTTGAAGAAGTTATTAGACACGTTATTGGACATAACGATCGTTTTAATATTATGTTGTAGTTCTTGTTATTCGTCATCATTATCATTGAATAATCGCTTTTCTCTTCGAATACTGGACCAATTGATTGGAATTTTCAGTAGTTGAAGATTGATTGTTTGCCAGAAGGCTATCACTTTTATCATGGAAACACTGACTGTCCGGTTTGATCCTGTAAATTCTTGCTACGCGAAATTCGGAAATATTTTGAGGGTACCGGTAGCGTCAAAGGTAAGGACTGCACCACTCTGGTTAAATTGTCCATATATTTGCTCTCTTGTTAGATTATATGAAGATAATCTGGCCACCCTCATTCAACTTGGGTAAAGTCTAGTCGGGTATGCAGCTGTTACCGTTGCCGTGAAAATCGTTTAGTAGTGTTGAACATTTGTTGTAATTTAAGAGGCTAACTTACTTTTCAGTAAACATCACGACCAAGTTTTCGTCGTCTTTGTATTTCTTCAGTGCTTTCTCGATTAAGTCGAACATCTGATTGGATTCAGCTGCAAGGCATTGAACTTTTTTTCCAGAAGAACACTGTCCATTCATACCTAGAACCTGAAACAGTAAAATTATATTCGACATTTCCAAGTGGCCAAGTGGTTGATGTGTAATTTAACCATTGGTTTTTAAATTGGATCTCGTGTTTGCTGCTGCCATAGCGTGGCCTATACTATATTACTGTACAAAACAGTGAGATCTGCCCCAAGGTATTATTATAGCTTACCTTTGCATTCATTTTTATAACTTATCCTTAATAAAGCAATAAACACCTAATATCTGCATATATATCTAAAAAATGACTTCGGTAGATAATTGAACGTCTAATTACAATACGGCCAGGTCCCGTCGGAACGCGGTAGACACTTGGCACGTGGGTAGGGGGCATTCGGCGGTAGACTTCACGTTACAGTAGGAGGTAGTACATATCTGTAGGTAAATGAATTAGCTTTCGCAGTTATTTTTTTGTTCTATACACATTTCAAAGTCCTTCGAAACATCGTTCAGTGTACGACCGCATCCAAGGTATTCCATCCCAGTATAGCTAGTCAACCAAGAGAAATATGACTCCAATATTTAGCCTATAATTGAAAATAACAATTCTCAGAATAGAGTCGATCTCTTGTTCGCGATTTATGTTATGTAGTGTAAAGGGATATTACTGTAATATTCTCTATCCCAACTCACTCACCACAACATTAAGATTCAAATAGTTTGCTGCATTCATAAATCTTTTGTATCCATCGCTTTCCTCGGATGCCACCGTCAACAACAAGAGTTCCAAATTTTCTAAAAAAGGCGGATATCATATTTAACCAAATGAGGTAGATTCTATTTTTAATGAGGTGTTTAATAGTTTCAAGGAGGTTAGCAGTGTATCCAGCAAATTTTTCGATGGGCATAGCATCTTTATTCCAAACAGAGCTCGTAAATAGCAGTGACTAACCTGCTACTGCTACCGTGTTTTCCCCAAAATAAGACTGTCTTATTTCAATTTTCTTCCAAAAATTAACACTAGTGCTTACTTTTTTTTGCATGTCTTTTATTTTCATTTATCAAAAACTCAAATTACAAAATAGAGAATTACATGATTTTCAAATATACAAAATATGAAAAATGATATCCATTTACTTGTGAATAACACGTTTTTATTTAAAAAAAATATCTGCTAAACATAGATTATTCAAAAATGACCAACTATTTAAAACTTTTGGGGAGATATCTTGCTATCGACTAAGTAAAAAAAAATGCGCTATCGACTGTAGGTCTCATTTTAAGGGGAAGGCTATTATTAAATCATTTTAAAATTTAGGCTAGGTCTTATTTTCAAAGTAGGACTTATCTTTGGAGAAACATGGTATGTGCTGCAAGAAAGGGCATTTTTGCAATTTAACGATCGCTTTCCACACAACTTATCGTTGTACAACAATTATTTATACTTTCAACACAAAAAAAAAACAGCCCCATATTCATTTCCATTTAAATTTAATTAAATGTGTTATTTTCGTATTAAAATGAAACCCTTTTATATAATTAATTATCTCCTAATGAGATATTCACTTACCTGGCGTTTGTGCTTGAATCTTGCAATAACAACCCCAAAAAATTCCAAGACTGATTAGAATTAGAAACTTGTCCATCATGTTCACAACCTTATACGCTATGTCATCTAATTTATCGAACTGAAAGTTTATTCAAATAAAAATTATGATCATTAAATAATTCTTTCGAAATACTAGGAAAGTCTGATCGCCAAAAAGATGTAAGCTGTGAAGATATATCTACATTTATCTTCGGGGTGATGAAATCCGATATGGCTATTAGACGCTATGCATATACCCTACCCTTAGTTAAATTTGGATAATATATATATAATTATTGCCAGCGAGAAGAGCCGCACAAAAACTTCTGCCAGCCCCGGTTTGCCCCGGTTCGTATAGTCCAGCTCTCTAATCATCTAAAACCATAATAGTGCATTTGAACGGACGAGATAATGTTTTGTTTTTCTAATGATACCACCATGCTATGCATGCCTTTCTAACAATAACTTTCTATCCTCTGATTTATCACTATTTGTTTATAATTTAAAACAACCGTACAACGTTTTCGTCCGTTGTTTACAATAGTATAAACAAACTGGCGTATTCTTGTCACGTAACAATCGACTTCCACGAAAGTATTTTGCGTCGCCGTCGCACGTTCCGGGAAGCGAATCGATTTGAAGCAATTTGAAGTTAGTTCAACAACAACTTTTTTTTCATACCCGAACTGACGCTTAGTTTCAATTTTATCAATTCGGATATGCAATGCCGAACAACAGAGATTCCGGTCGATTTTAAACATTGTAGCACCTTATGTACCGCTATCCAAATTATGATAAAATCCTTAATAAAGACGATCCAACGTAGCGAATTGAAATTATTGAATTTATCGAGATGTTGCATTTGTGTATACATAGGTAATACATTTCCGGTAACAAAATCTATCTATACATCGGCGACAGCTTGTAAAGAACTCGTATGGAGCGGAGATATTGCAATATGATTATATAATTCAGCTAAAACGTTGTGATCTGCCTCGCTGTAGAAATAACACTCGCATGTTCCGCCATTAATTTTAAACGCGCACCTACCCCATGTTTTTGCAGTGCCTACAAGTGCTTCTTGTAATGTTTGGCTTGGACCATATATCCTTACTACTTTGGAGGTCACAATTTAGGGTCACAGAATAATAGCCCCCTCGTGGGGCGATCAAAGTCAGTCTTGACGAGATGAAATCTACTAACACTTTCTCTCTCTTCAAAAAGGAAGACGGTGTGCTATTTGAACCCTTTGCCTAAATTATGTTCATAATATTCTCTTTTAGTAGTTTTATTGTTTTATTTTGAACTTTATTCAAATTTGAATATCTGGTATTACTATTCAATTGTCTCATTTTTCGATTGTTCTAAACCAGTGGTTTGCCATTTTGGAACTCTTTATTTCTTCCTCACTTTGCATAAAAACTACTTTATCCATTCAATCTTTAATGGATCCTTTGCTAATGTTATGCGAAAGTCGCACTCACACTTTTGTACAGTTTAAGTGGTTTATAATTTGTCCTTGAATAAGTATTACATTAAAAATAAAGAACTAAAGAATATTGGTAATATTACAGAAAAATAAAAAGCCAAATTTCCTCCATCAAAACGACAAAATTTTTCCCCTGTTGGACAACGTGGTTTTGAACAGACATAAAATTTGAAATAATCGCACTTAACTTGATCTATTTTTCGTATCTTTAACTCGAAGGCAAATTAATACTAATGCGGCGCCTGTCACGATGCGGACACAAAAATAAACTTAATTTACCCTCCGGCTGTGTAGTGTAAGGGACGGCAATTAAAAGATTTTGACGAAGTTCGAGGATACAATACTTTTGTACACATTCCACGACGTGCTGATTTTCTCTCCATTTTCGTCTTTTATTTTTATGATTAAGGGACTCGGACCCTTGGTGTATGTACATATGTATATGGCCCACGCTCTCAATATATGTAAATACAAACAGTGGTGAGATTCAATTTTTTTGTCAGCCGGTCCCATCACGAAAGTCATATTTTTCATCCGGTTCTGTTCCTTAAAATGACATTGATAGTAACCAGTAATGCTAACCGGTTCACTGATCTCATAAAATTACGTGAGACGATTCTATAGAACCGGCGCGAACCGACTGAATCCCACTACTGCATACAAACCATATAGCATTGAACAGAGAACGGTGCGATGAACATTCGTGGTTAGGAAAATCGGTAAGTATTAAGCTTGTTTTTTTTTAAACACATGCACTTTCGATGGAGTAATGACTCGATAATGTGCCCGTTCGCCTAACTATACAGTACAGTATATAAAAAACATTGAAAAATAGATGTCATTTTGTTTGCTCATTTCCAATCCGATCCCCAGCTCGACAGGTAAAACTAATACCGACTTATATGGGTGTCCAATTCCACTTTACAATTCCTCCTTTACAATTCCAATTTTATTATGAAGTCAGTTCTCAATATATTTTAACCAGGTTTACGTATTATTACTTCATTTAATATATCTGTGAGGGCCAAAACAATATATGATATCGATAAATTCCCATTTCAAGACTGCATGGACACCCTATATATTGGTTTACATGACTATCTTACCTTGGCCATTGTTTTCAACCGGCGGACACATGGATGAACTCCTACGTTGATTGGGAGAACAATTATTTCTCCCAGTCAACAAAAACAACCAATTTGCGAATGTAATTCCATATTAAATTTTAAAATAGGTTTCGATAACAATTATTCTCTTAAATGTTTTCGAGGTAATTGCTTTAATTAACAAAGATTTGTTAGTGTGTAAATCCTTGTCGGCCAAATGCCCTAGAGGCACTCACAAAGGTTGACATTTTCCCTTTTGTGTAACGATTAAGTGTTGATGAGGTTAGAAACGGGCTCAGCCTGAACCCTAAACTACTACACTATTTAAAGAAGTTGTAACAGGGTGTGTCGATTTAGCATTTTAGCTTGAATTAAGCAAATAAGCATTGCTTGAATTTTAATGACATTTCATTGACAATAGTAAGTATTGAATTTGCCATTAATGAGTCTAATTTAAGTCCTTGGGTAAAACATGTCTGTCAAAGTTTGATGATATAATTTTACGTTCGCAATCTCGTAATATTGGATGTGATCTGGTGACCTTACCACTCAAGCAGCGTTCAAAATGAGATCTGAATCGTATCAAAGAATGCGACCCTTTAACGACACGTCGTGGCTTTGCAATATCATTCCGTTGGGATTAACTTGAGGTCTGCGGAGTCTGAGTTTGGCATGTTCTCACTAAAGTCGGAGTCGCATTTCTACTCTCGACGAAGTCAGAGTTTCAGACTTTCAAAGCTGATGAAATAAAGTCAAACGTTTTCTACGGCAACTCTAAGATCATTTAGTCCACTTGGCGTCTTTCTTAAAGATAGCTGGTATAGGCTGAAGTTTTTGACAGAAATTAATTTCCTCGGAGTTCAAAGCTAATGTCGACAGTCAAAGTCGGATTCAAAAATTTCTCAACTCGGAGTTGCAGTCAAAGTTTTTCAACTCGGAGTCAAACCTTGCTTGACAATGTGCATTTAACGCCGAGATTACGTTAGGATTTTACTACTTCCGGGGTCAAAGGAAATCATATACAACGGCTTAATCACATGGCTGACAACGGTCAGGTAACATTCCAGGTAAGGTATGTAATAGCTATACCCATTTAATCATTGCTAACCATTGGACGTGAATGGGAAGAGAATCCGCAGCCGATCAATGATTTTGTGAACCACACTGCGATAACGAGGAATTCTCTCACAATGGCATCACAATATTCATTTAAGTGATCTGCCCTTGTCCACTACTGAATAGGTTGGTTCGTCTTGATCAGGTCCGACAAAATTCTGCCCATATAATTCATTGTAAACTGTTTCCGCAGTTTCATTCTGGTCCCCAGTGTACGTTACATTCGGATGACCAAATTCTGAAGACGCGTAATCATCACGTTTGGCTGTTTTGTTGTATCGGCTTGACGTTGCGTCACTTTTCTGTAGACTTCTTTTTTGTCTTAATAAAAAAAGGAAAATCTTCTTTTTTCTTAATATGATCACAAGAAAACTGAATTACAGTTTGAAGATTTTAAGTTAATACTCCATGTAGGCTACATCCCACGACTCAGGGCGTAATAAATTGGATGAGTGAAACAATGAATTCGGGATTTCTCCATATCGAAGGCCAAAGCCTCGTTCGAAGCGAATGTCTGCTATTTTAAATATGATACGTTTTATCGTTCTCCTCTTCGTGTTTATTTATTCACGAAGGAAATCCGACTTTAGAAAGATTTCTATTAAACATGCAGGTTCTTTCGCTCGAAAGACCATCAGTTTAAATCCAATACGGCAATACCTATTTATACAATCGTAACATACCCCATGATTTATCTATAGGCACTATTCTTCAAATCTATTGGTCTCGCGGTTTCGGCGCAATAAAACTGACCCAGAACCACGAAAAATTAATATTTCATCGATTAGTTTAATGTAATATAAAACACCATAACATACCTGAAATACAGCCACAGAATTATTCCACTCGCAACAAGTAGACAGAAAGATAACAGCGATACCAAGATTGCTAATGTCCGGTGCGATGACCTCAAACTCTTACTTTTCTGTGAGTCAAAGGTGACTGTATTATATGATGTTGCTTCTGAAGAAAACATTATGAAGTTGAATTATTAGAGTGATTCAAACCACATAGTGCTCTTATTTCATTATTTTTTTTTAATTTGGGAATAGAGACGGATGATCTAAAATTGTACTAATCGATGTTATCTCTGTTTTTCCAATTGGGATGTATATATATTCATTTATTTGTATTTGGTACAATGTTTATAAATGACGAATATCTGAATCTGCTTGGCAGTTGTGAAATCAATATAAGTATTGATTTTTAAAAATAACCATTTTTTAGATGAAACCATACCTTCAGTGGTAAAAAAATCCCACAATAGGACGTCCTGTTAGCTATTGACATATATATATACGGTAAACACTAAATTGTCTTGAAATTATTTTATAGCGGATTCGCAAATATTCCCTATACAAACAGTCTACTGATTTTCGCAGCATACATTTGGATTTGAGCAATAATCAGCCTTGGAATCCGCTAGATTTTGAGACCGGGATTCGTCAGGTCTAAATAGCTTTTTCTGATTTGTTTAGATTTAAGATTACAAAGACTTGAGCTAGACAGGATTCCTAATTGATCGCCAACATCTTCCAATGTGCTAACCATAGATCCAAAACGCCCCAAATCTGAGAACTGTACACAAATGCGCGTATAATATCTTGATCACATGACACCATAATATTTATCGTGTTTCCCCGAAAAAAATACAGGGTCTTATTTCATTTTTCTTCCGAAAATAACACTAGGGCTTATTTTGGGGGGATGTCTTTTATTTTCATTTATCGAAAAAAAGTTACAAAGTAAAGGATTACGAGTTTTTCAAATATACAAAATATGATACCGATATTCATTTGCTTATAAATGACACGTATATGAAAAATACTGCTAAACATAATCATTTAAAACGTGTAGGAGAGATTTCTTGCTATCGACTAGATTAAAAAAATCGATTACCTTCTTCAAGCGTGCTCGAAAATATCGACGACGTGGAAAATTGTGATGTCTCCGTCACCCGCGAGATCCCTCTGTCCGTTACCTCTTCAGGACCTGAAATATAGATAATAAAGTTACATTCAATATATTATGCTATCAGAAAGAATTGGCAATTTCCATGGACTTATCCGTCCAGAAATTACTGTATAACGATCATAGACCACACCACATATATCTATAGTTTGTTACATCGATATATCAGGTGAGCATATTATGTTTACGATTATTGGAATGCTCACTTTGATGATTAGAGTAAATCAGTGTTTTCTTAGAATTCCTAGCTAGACTAACCCAATTCAACTTCATGATAATATGTGAATGAATAACTTTGGCAGCTTTATACTATGACACAACATAAGATCGTGGCGATATTATATACAGCACTAAGGTAATAACTCACCCACTTTGGTCTTTTCCGCGCAGGTTAAAAATTCAAATGAAATATTGAAGTTGATTTCGGATCTATATTCGCTGCGAAATCGTATTTTATTCACAGGCTTCTCATCTGTTGTCAGCCATACAGAACAGTCAGGATATTTTCTTGTTATTTGTCCCAAAATCTTATCATATCGACAACGTGAAGAAGATTTCCAGTAAATGTGACATACGTTTTTGATTGATCCACATCGATCCCCTTTTAGCATGTCTGCAAATAAAATATTCAAATCAAAAATTTCACAACGTAAAATATTTTCACCGTGCCTTCATGTGATAAAGTAGCAATTCATGTCATTCTAACTTTTACCACAGCCATGAATATTTTCTATAGTATACACTAATAATATTTTATGCCGAAGTACTCCGTGCGTGTACAATATATTTGCTGTATGGTGGAGAAATAAGTTACCGATTACTGTAAAATCGAAATCGATTCTGGCTCGTAAAAATACTATTTTTTTAATTTTAAAAACAAACAACCCTTGTATCTTGAGTAGTTTGTTCAATTTTTAGCTTACAGCATTGTTGTTGCACCATATAGTGGTCGATAAAGCTACGCATACCCTATGCTACGTTGTTACTTTTCTAACATCACCTATAACTGTATGACCTATACATGTATCACCTATAACTAATATACTTAAAATGCAAATTACACGATAAAGAGGAGCTTCCTTTATGTTGCAACCATATTTCTCCAGTGCACCTCTGCCCGAATGTTCGTTTCATCTCTACATTGTTGTACAGGACCACAAGTACAGTGTTATCATCTTCAACGGAAGTCGGAAACACCCATTCACAGTTCTCGTACTGGTACGGTTGTTTTCGATCAAAAACTATGTTGCCAGAATTTGATTCAAACTCTTTTTCGCCTGGCACCGAGCAACCATTAGTATCGGAGAAAAGAACTGCAATAAAAACAAATTTATCAACTTACAAAAATAAAATGTCCGCCAACTTTAGCAAAATCTGCTGTTTGCTTTTCACTATAGGGTTCAATCTCCCTATCTATATATTCCATACAGCATTATGACATCGGACAGCAATGGGTTTTCCTAACTTCTAAAACTTGCTTTGTTGATCATTCATTAGCAACAAACAATCTGTTTCGTCCGACATGTCGAAGACGTAAAAAATCACATTTCGAGCTTTTACTTACCAAAAATAAATATTCCGAGTTGTATTTGTACCGTTAGAATCATTTTGAATTTGAAAAATCAGCATAAAACTTTGAGAAGTTGTCCTAGATATGTTTTACATACTCGATATGCGAAGTGAGTATATATATACAAATTCTTAGGCCGTGGGTACTTTTGGTTTAGTCATTTTCGTACGATATGTGTAGTATGACTAACTATAAGCATGGGAAACCTTATCCACCATCATTACATAACTGCAAAAGTCACGCTTGGTACTAATTCGTAATGTATATATATATATATATATGTTTATTTGCGTTGAATCGATGAAATGGCTACCTCAGCAGAAATACTGCGCCAGTATTGCGAGGAAAAACATTAATTCTTATTTGTTTATGTTACCTGTTACCACAACAATAACCCCACAACTGTCGCCATTATGAAGAAAGCGTAGTTGTTGATTTGTTTTAGATGATTCACTCAGAAACCAATGATGTCTGTGACGTAGAGTGACTGATAAAAAGTTATTCAAGTAGGCGGCTTTAATTTGCGTAGAGATATATATTTGCATCACTTGCACATGTGACAAATATTAACGTAGTTTCAGGTTTCGATACCGGCACACAAATTGTCACGTTTGGGTAAATTTGTTTTTAAGATAATTTGCTGAAGGTCACGCGCACTCAGCCAGGAGTGAAAAGAACTCAACTCAACTCTGAGCGAAGTTGTGGGCATCACGGAAATGCCACAAGCTTCTGAAATTACCGTTTATAGTAATTGCTAATCGACAACCAGTTGAATATCTTCGGTATGTCTGCGGTGTGATGTCTCTTGAAGACAATCTCTAGACTAGATGGTGATCGTACATTTGAACTCGTGTGTATATCCGCGAGTTCAATCTATATGCGGGTGCTAAAACCCATGGGTTAGGGTTAGTATGGGTTCAAATATCCGTAAAACAAAAAATACCTATGGGTGCAATTGTCGTGGGTTCAAATGTACGGGAACCTCTCTAGATATATATTAGTTGTAAGTTGTATATTTCAGCAAAAATACAACGGTGCTCACCAACAATGACGGTAGTTCCGTAAATAAAATTCCCAATCTTTTGATTAGACATTAGAGCCTTGGGTGTCACTGCCCGATAACCAGCTTTGGCTCCTCGCGACTTTCTTCCTCAGTAACATTGTATGATTATCTCTCTTTTTCTGAGCGCTGTATGCGATTATTTTTTTGCTCGTTGGAAAAAATTAACTTGACTCGTGGCTTTCCCAACCTTAACAAACGGGCAACTATTTCCATTGTCGACATGATAGCCGACCAGGAGTCACACACAAAGAAGTTAGTTACCGATGAGAAATACTTAGTCTGAACCTATTGCGTGGTAACTCCTCCATGAGAGGTCGAAAATCCATCGAATAACTGCCACTGCCAGTATGCTAAACTTCGAGAAGTTGCAACCAATACCTTCGGCTAGGGGTAAAACGCTACTGGCGGAAATGACAGTTTGAAATATGTCCCTGCTACTGAAGTGGAAATGTTTTCTCTATAACCAGGGCTGTCATCAATACGAACCCCAAAATAAGGACATCAGGGGAAACATAATATTTAGATAACGAAGAATGAAATAAACAAAATGTATTCATGCCGGTGCGACCCGTGTCTAATCATACTTTGCACTAGAAAATATTCGCTCCAGCAGTCTATCCGTTCCATCTCACTTCTAATGTGTATTTTGATTCAAGTTGCACAAACTTATTCATTGTCGGTAGGCTATCGTTTTGTCATTGTGGCAATTAATTTGCTGTTATGTCATGAGTGCGCGTAGCAATCAGTGAGGTTCTAATATCATTTCTAGCGAATCAATCATTCGAATTTACCAATCTAAGTGCGTGATAATAGAACCTCTATGCCTAACATGAAAAAAAAATAAGTACAAATGTCAAAATAAGGACGTTTCTTAGAAATAAGTATCAAGGACGTTATGGCAGCCCCGTCTATAACCAAGATCTGCTCCCTTCATTTTTCAAGAATTAATTGAACAAGGAATTTTGGCGTGTTTGGTAGCATCCACTCCAGTTTCGGTATCAAGAAAATTTTATTACTGCCAACATGAAATGTACGAAACAAATATATTTAGACTATACAAATGATAAATAAAATGGAAGTTCTCATTAGTTCAGCCCAAAAAATCCAGCCATGAAATATTTTGCTCTGCACCACATTTGTTTTTATGATCGTTGTGTAAAAGGCTTGCCCCCTAAACATCCAGATTGTTGGGTCTTTCATTTGGTTTGAAGGCAAGGAGTGGATCGTTGCAGCATGGTTCAGTCATCTGGAAATTTGAATACATAATATATGTTACTTAGTAAAGACCTCCTGAAGTATGCGCACCAAGATGGCGCACAACCTGAACTCAAGTTGTGTACCAGGTCAGGGTTCAGGTTATGCGACATCTTGGTGCACATACTTCAGGATCAGGAGTACCCTTTTTAAAATACAAATCCCATAATAAACTGCTCCGACTAAATTGACACTTTACAAGAATGTTTTAGTTAGGTGATGAGAACATTGTTTTCCAACCAGGATTCGGTGGCAACCTAGTGTTTCGCCGGTAAATTACAGTCAAATCTGATAATATGAACTAACTATAATTAAACACATTAGGATTGCCACTAATATCAAAGTTGCTACACTTTAAAGGTAATTGCCAGGATTACGATTTTTTCTGTATATATTCATAGTTTATACAATCCAGACAAGAAAAGATGATTAAACTACACAGCGCACAGGCATTCCTGGAACCCACTTGAATGTTTCATTGAGGTTACCCTCATCCGAAAACAGCTGGGCTGTAGTGTTGAAGCTGATAGGTTGGCAAGTGACAGGTCAAAACCCTTCTAAGATTACTAGCTTTTTACTTTTCATTGGCTGCTTGTCGCGAGCCTTGTTTGAAGTGTAGACTTTTAAGTCTATAATTACCGTAAACAGTTTAACAGAGAGGGTTTACATGTTCAAGACCTTACTGGCCTAAGACACGGATGTGCGACATGTATAACCGCAGTTTAGGAATACTGTGTTATGTTGAATCAACATGTACATGCATCTGGAACAAATATCTGGTGAATTCTCATACTAATTATTAAGTAAAACTATATAGTTTAAAATTCCACAGACGGAAAATCGTCATTATGCAGCTATTTAGCATTTGCCTAACATTTGCACCTCAAGACATATCTCCAAAACAGTGAAAAATGCAGTATTGATTTTGACAAAGAATGTCATATTGTCCAATTGGTCGATATATACAGAGATCAATATACAATGCTTTGATCCTATGGGATTTCTAATCAATGAACAAATTGAAGGGGATGGAGACTATATTGAATGAATAGCCAACAAATCGCGATAAGTTACAGTAACTTCTATAATGCTAATAATAATGATCAACCTATTATTCGGTATCAGTGAAATATACGATAATTTAGGTATATTACAATTATTATTGCAAGTTTCTGCAAATTTATGGCGCTCCAGAAGTGTGTGCACCAATATGGAGGTAACTTATTTTGTTCGCCTTATTTTATATCAAGCTGTGTAAAGGGACTGAAACCTATGGGCATGAGGTATATTCACTTGGCTAACACAGACAGTCCCCGAAGTAGTAATAGAACTAAAATAAGGAAAATCAGAATACAATTATGGCCCAACCCTAACCTAGTACACACACTACAGGAGTACCAAATTATGATGAATCCCAGTGCAGAATTATTGTTTTCAATAATGCTATACAGTAAATGCATGAACTGATGAACAAGATGAAACACAAACTATCCAATTCATATTAGATATGACAAACATGCTTTGTAAGAAAAGTTCACCAACTATACATCCTAGCCTACTGTATGTATACTTAACAATATTACTGAAATTTTACCTTAACTTCGAGCAAATTATCATCTTGTTCCACATCAGTGTTCACATCATATTGTCTCAGTGGTACGAGTTGGCGTCGCAGTCTTTTCACTCTGCAGAGAATGGGAAATGTATTAATCACATTTAAGAGATATCTTGATAATAGTAATATAATAAAGAGATGGGTAAATATTAATCGTACTAAAAACTTCACTACTTAAGGGTAATCCCAAGCCTGATAAGCTAAAAAAATTCCACCCGACCATCCAACAACAGGGGCGTAGCGAGGAATTTTCGAGGGGGGAGGGGGTTCTGGAATTCTAATTGCCAAGTTAGACTCTAAAAGCTGCGAGCACGGAAAACCTGGGTGATTTCCAAGAGTCTTGACGGCCTAAAAGCATTTTATGTTACGAAAAACTGCTAAGTATGATACAGTTACATTTCAAAAGAGGGGGTTCCAATTCCAACCCCCAAAACCACACCCATGGCTACGTCACTGTCTGACAGCATGCACAAACCCCAAATCAGAAAAAGAACTTCAGAATAACAAAATTGACTTTGATATGAGTAAACCTTTCCCGTTACATCAAGGAAATTTTGGTACTCCCATAGTGTGTGTACCAGGTTAGGGTTAGGGCATAATTTTATTCAGATTTTTCTAATTTTAGTTCTATAACGAGTTCGGGGACTGTCTTTGTTAGCCACGTGGATATCCTCCCTTGTTCATAGGTTTCAGTCCCTTTACACAACATGATGTAAAGTAGGCAAACAAAATTAGTTACCTCCATATTCATACACATACTTCTAGAGCGCCCAATTAACTATGATGTTTGTAAACCTTTTCTGCTATATCTACGCAAATCCAGCTTCAAAATTTAGAATATTTTTACACTGTAAGTTTAAAATAAAAAATTCTTCTATTACAGGGGTTCTCAAACTTTTGGCGTTGCGGAGCCCTTGAAAAGGTTGACTAATATTCACGGAGCCCCATAATAAATGTTAAAATTGTTACTTTCCGATTAATATTCTTGAGTAAGTTAAACGTACTTTTACTCAATTTAAATACTAAACACTTTTATTAGGGTCAATAGAAGTCATAAATAAATCTCGTGGGGAATTATGAGTTCAATGTGAAAAACATGTTACCATATTATAATCATCGGCGACGAAATGCTAAAAATAATAGTTAATAAAGAGGTAAATCCGCAATTCAAATTTCTTGTTTAAAAAGCGGCATTATAAAATATTAGAACTAAAACTTAAAATGGGAGATAACACTATAAGTTTTGTTTCAGCAGACTCACGTCAGAATAAAAACGCTGTTATAGACATCGTAAATCATAAATTTGGTGTTATGTTAGGTTTTCGGTTATTCATCGTAGTAACTGCGAAATTGAAACACAGTCAATTAATTATGCGCGGTGTACCATTTTTCCTTTCTGAAACTACCGACAGAGCCGCATGCACTAAAATAAATTTCAATCGTTCGTATTTTGCCAAGACCTTGTGATTTTTCAAACGGCGACATCTTGCTTAAAAATAATCTCGAGTGCGAAAGAACAAATCAAGTTTAACAAATCCCAAGATCACAAAAATACGACTCCAATTCATTTATAGTTAGCAGTTTATCACGCAGTTTATATTTTTTTAGAATAGTATTTTATCATTTTAGTAATCCTAATAGTAATTTCGAATCGAACGTGAGTAACGATGAGCACAATTAAATTATTACGACAAGACACTTTAGAATTTAGATGCTCGCATCGGTCATGAATTGAATATTTTACGCAACAGAAATCTCGTTATCCGTTTTTTTTTTTAATTGCCAAGAATGTTGCGCGTAAATTTCCGATTCCAATTTTGAACCTCCTCCCTCTTAAAAATCCTGGCTGCGCTCCTGCTTATAAAAATAATGTCATTTTTTAATTCCACCCCTTTGCCATATTTCTAGGCTATATTGTTGTCAAATTTCATCAAAGCTGTTATTGCTTCTAGGAACAGTTTTAAATTAGCCAAGTCAGTATTTTGAAAAGTAATCGAATAGCTCGCGGAGCCCCTGGGTTACTCTCGCTGAGCCCTGGGGCTCCGTACGGAGCACTTTGAGAACCTATGTTCTATCATACAGATCCAAATCAACAGTTGATATTTTTTCTGGATCAATTTACAAAATAAGTTGAAATAAAAAAAATTACCCAGATCTTCTTTTTGAATATTTGAACGCTAAAACAGCTCCTCCAAACAACAGTATGATAATGACCGGAAGAAAAACATACAGAAGAACTAATGACGATCCTTGTGGCGGCAGATTTGTGAGAATTGTAGTCTCGATAATACCAAGAAATGTACTATTGTTGGGTTGGTCAACATAGGTCGTGGAACCTGATGTATGTGGTACAATGGTGGTCGAATGATATCCATTTTTTTGTGTGTCTTGCGTGCTCAGTAATGTTGATGTGCCTAGTCATGTAAATATAGAAGGAATATTTAAAAAAAGATTCTAGATTGGAATAAAATCGAAAATTATGAAAAAAATTTGATATAAACATAAATGAATTTGAAGATATAAACAAACTGTACAACTTGACAATGCATGCTGCCACGATACTACAAATATTTATTTTTCAATAAATAAAATAAAAACCAGGCTTATAGCGGTTACAACATTTTTAAATTATGATATCAACCAGTATACATCTAATACAATAATCAGTAATTTGTGGTGATTTCACAGTAACACAGGCAAAGTTGTCTTTCAGACAAGGATAAATGATCAAGGATAAAATGTGTGACAAGAACTTGGGAATTATATAGTCGAGACAAAAAACATTTACAAACGATATTTTGCAATATTTTACCAAGAGTTGAGTTCATGAATGATGCTGAAGTAAACTTCAATGCCATTTTAGTCCATAAAACACTTCGCAAGCATGTTGAAAAAAAAGTAAATGAAATAATCTCTACGGAACTAACAGATACCGGTAGGAGTCTTCAGGTCTCGGGGCCTACATATGACATACCGGTAATACTGTAATAACTGTAGCACTAAATAGGCCGAAAAATGTCGTCTCGGCCATTGATGCATTGTGCTGAGCATTAGAACCAGTCACTTGGCGCTGGTTGACAGGATCGAATCCAGTGCTGCAGTGAGGGATTCGGGAATATGTCTGTATGTGTGAGAGAATTGCTGGACTCCTTGCCGTCGAAGAGTGGTTCATGTACCGATGTACGGTACCGGTAGCTATTCAGCTGGCTACCGGCTGCGATATGATCAAGCCGTACCGGTACCGGTACCGTACTGTCCGCTTTTTTGCTTTCGGGGATAAATATGAAAACCCTATCTCAACTCAATACGGTAGGTAGTCTACTGCAATAACTTCAGTTGAACTTGTTGATACTGGTAATCTAAGTTTAATACCCTAAAAGTTGCGGTACCGGTATAGAGAATCAGAATTCTGAAATTGTCTGGTCCAAAACCCAAGATTGCTACAACACTACAGGACTATTCTGCTATTGCATATTTTGATACAGTGATAATCGTAATGAAAAAAGTAATACTATTGTACTCACCAGATCAAGTTTATGCTGTCACAACGGCTGTATAGAAGTTTGATTTTCGATATGAGAATGTGAAAATCGAATCCCGGCTTGAAGACGAAAATGAAACGATACCCGCAACTGTCAATCAAGCCAGAACTTCACGTAAATGGATATCCACTAAATGGGGCTGTTGATCGGAAAAAATAGGACATACCGGTACCAGTACTGACAGAAACTTCGAATCAAATATCCACGCCACGGTAATAAGCTTTTTAGAGATCTAGTGGGCTAATAGTTGTCTCTATATAAATAGTCACCAGGAAACAATATGAGATGTTCATTCGATCCATGCTAAAGTGGGCAAGGATAGGAATCAATCAATCAATTTTATTTGGTCACTCTGATACAAACAAAAAACAAAACAACAACAAAGCGCAAACAAAATACAGAGGACCTGGAGAACGGGCATAACCTAATAATAAAGTCAAATACGTACAAGTACGTGCCCGTCCCCCAATAACAGTAAAAACACAATGAAACAAAAACACGATGTGACATCGGGCAATATCTTATAAATTCAAATTAAAATGTGAGACGTGTATGTTTTTTTTCTACAAATATATGGATTAAAGAACACTCGCAGCCGAAAAGAATTCACATATTTATCCCGGTGAGAGGAGAGCCGATAAGACGGCTTAATCATATGGCGAAACACTGCCTCCCGTCCGGTTATCAGTCCAGGTATGGGATAAGTTAGCCAGTTATTTGTTTTCGGAAGCATGGACTTGATGCTAGAGGAAGCCGTAACCGACCAGCGGTTACGTGAACCACCCTACGGCGGCGAGGAGTCCATCAATCCCCCAGTAGGTTTTTAAAGCAGAGGCCATTTTTCCCATCTAGACTGGCGGGCCATGTAAGTCTGACGTTAAAGTTACATCTTGAGAACAATATTTACAGTGTTACAAAAGCAACAAGAGAGCTATGCTCAAATATATGGACACGTGGCACCACATAGTGACAAATTTTGATGACGTCATAGCACACAAAAAAACGAATCCCATGCAGCTCACCGGAATATTTGAAATAAATAAAAGTAATATTCTTCTAGCGAAATATTTAATATTTAAAAAAATAAAATTTCAAAAGCAATTGGTCCAGTAATCAAAGAGAAAGGCGTTTTTTTGTGACAAAGAACAACAAGAACAAGGATAAAAACGAAAAAGTATACAACAACATAATAATAATAAAACAATTCATAAAAAAGTCCACTTACATGTCCAAAATGGAAAACAATAGGCTTTGTGCCAAAACTAAATTTAATCGCAATCTCAACAAATTACTTGAGTTATTTTTAGCAAAAACATTACAATTTGATTTTAGTTTGGTTGTGGCAGCATCAGGCGGGCCAGATTAAATTACCCAACGGACCGGATTAGGCCCGCTGGCCGTAGTTTGCCCATGTCAGTGCTAAACGTTGGGAATACGCTCACCCCAGGACCTCTGATTACCTTGCGTAGGTTCGATCCCCTGAGCCTTTGTTCGATATTTATTCCGGGAAGAACAAATAAAATTCGTGTCAACAAGAGTGCTGAATATGGTCGCCACTTATTTAATATAGGGGAAGGTGGGGCACGTTGGGACATGGGGCACAGTGGAAAATCAGCTCTCACACTAATACTATATTCGGAATCCGGTCCGCGGTTTGATGTTTCGATCCACCCTTCGGTCCGAATGTGCCCCACAAGTGGGGTACAGTGGGACACTTGACAAACGTTTTTCAAAGCATTTTGGTGGTGAGATGTGTGTCGCGAGAGAATTTCTTAGTCGCTGAATAAAAACTACATTTACCCCTCCCTGCATTAATCCCGCAAAGTCATATGAATGTGCAGAATAAAGGGCTCAAAATATGAAAAAAAAAAAAAGTGTCCCAACCTTCCCCACTTTCCCCTACGGTTGTTTGTGTATATGTGGTTTAATATGCCTTGATAAAACAAAATAGGTCTGAAAATCGCAATCTAATAATTATTCATTCAAAAGATTTAAAAAAAAAAGTAATTTAGTTCTAGCTTTGCAAATGATGTCCAGTACAGTGAATGGAGTGAGCAGAAAATAAAGATTTGTAGGAAACACCGCTATGCATTGTTTTTCTGAAATTTTTGGGAACAACGTAATTATTCTGACATCAATCAGAAATATATATTTCGAATGGGAAGTATTTAAAATGTAGAGAACTTCCCAATACAAGTTCTTATGTTTAAAATCAAATTTAACTATGTTATTGATTGTTCGTTCAAATGAAAGGGCGTTGGTCTGTCAAATACCACATTCTGAACAAGTTTTTTTTTTAATTAAACTTGGTATAACAGTATATCAGACTTGATTGAAGCACGCCCCCTCACTTGTTGAGCAACGTGTTTTTGTTTTCCTTGATATCCTTGTATAGCGGTTTCCAATGTGTCATCGACCAGCACATGGCGTTGGTATGCTCATCAGAATCACTTTCCAAAGAACAATTCTTTCTAAACAGAAATTTCCTCGCGCTTGTATTTACTTTGTTACATAAGTACCCTTGAAAACATGTGAATGGTTTCGTCGATCCATCCGCGGTTGTGGGAGATAAAATTTTATGTTGGTTTTCCGCCTGGTCTTGTTCTTACTAAAACTATAAGTCTATTGTCTGAGTGATTACGATTTCACAGTATCGGAATTAATTTGGCAAAAATGGTTTTTCATTTTTAGATGCGCTGTGTTGTGTGTTAAAATGATTTACCAAGATAACGTGATGTATTTTATAGTGGGTGAATGATTATTTTAGTTATAGTGACAGGAAAGATACTAGGATAGGATTTACATATTTACCCCGGGGGATAGGAGAGTCGATAAAACGGCTTAGTCATATGACGAACCACGGCCTCTCGTCCCGTTACCAGTCCATGTTGGGTATGTGATTAGTTAGCCAGGTATTTGTTTTCAGATGCATGAACTTACTAGATTTCGATTCAGTAATAAAAGCTCCGACGATATTTGAATGAAACCTTTGGATGGGATATATTGTATGAAAAGTTAAGGGCTCTTCATTACATCGTGAAATAATCGATTTTTGTATAGATCGAAAAAATAGTTGATTAAAAAATATTGAACAACGCTGAAATATTACTTGCGTAAACATACAATGTAGCATCACATGTCAACAACTTTAAAATATTCAATGACGGTGTTTTAAATTACCGAGAGGGTTTTTAAATCTCATTTAATTTTAATAATTAATTTTATATTTTGATCGTAGTAAGTGGCGTCAGCAGCATATGTTGGACAATCGCCGATGACCTCAATTTATAAAACATCAGGGTTATTGAAATGTCGAGTGCTTTTCGCTGATAGATTAAGTATATTTTTTATTCGTTTATATATATAATTGAAATGATCAGTAATATTACTAGAACTGACTTGTAATAACAACACCGTATTCCATTGAATTTAATGCATATAAGCACAAGAGTAAAATTCGTATAGTTTGCAGAATGGTTCATGATATAAGCCAGTAGCGTCAATGCAGCCTGTTGCAAAATATAGTTACGGTCGTGTGGATAATACGATGCATTTTGTTACAGTACGTTTATAAATGCTTGTTTATTTCGTTTCTATCAATAGGATAACCACTTAAATATCAGGACAACTACGGATAATGTAATGTAAACCTGAGTGCTTTTATCTGATGGATAAAAATACGGAAATTAAAAAAGAAAAAGTCAATTTGAAAAACGTTAACAAGAAACAGTTTAGCGGGTTGAAAAAGCCTAAATATCAACTGAACGATACTCAGACTAAGCAACGTGGCGTTACTAGAACCAGGCGTATATCGTCGACGAAGAAGAGTGAAACACCTAACGGTATTATTCCGCCGAAATATTACGAGAATTCTCCTGGTAATAGAAAGCAATATCTCTGGAAAGAAAACTCCAATTATCACAACAACGAGAGAACAGCTTCCTATAGAAGCATAAAGAATTTACATTCTTCGAATAACGTAAGCAGCTCTAGCATCCTGGGGCACAACGTCAGCAGCGAGAATAGCTTGCACGCTGTTCAGCAGAAACCGGCACTTTCGGCAGTGGTAAACGAAAGTCCGAAAAAAAGTCATGTACAGGCCAAAGGTCAAGATTTAACGGAAGGTAGTTGCCAGTATCTCAGGGTGTCACCGAACTTCATTCATTTTGTCACAGTTTGCCGATCGCAAATGTCATCACATCATCTAACAATCTTCTTCATTTGTAATTATTAAATTGTAGCTGCATTGTATTATATCTGTTTAAATAGTTTCATTTAAAAATTAGTTTATAAGTGTCACATCGAGGTTATAAATTGGCTAATGTTTTGGTAACCTTTAAATAGGACAACCTAGTTCTATAAATCTGAATTTTGATTGCAGTATAACAGATGGTTTTTGCACAAAATATGACAAGTCATATTCATTAGTTCAGAACAATAGTTCCCAAATTGTGCTTCTGATATTTTGAGTATGTCGCGAACTATCGAAACATTTCCCAAAAAATACTTCTTGTCTGCCCCCGTTTAGAACTTCATATAAAATGACTAATTATGTAAAAGTTCACGTCGAGGGTGAAGCAAGACAGTCACATTTCGTTTATTTGGACTAAAACAAGCAAGCGTATCGCGTCGATATGTGTGAATATTATAATATATATATTAATATTACTTTCATTTGTCGTACTTTAATGTTACTAACATTATGTTTTCTATCAATACGTCGTGATTTGTATTACAGAAAGTAAATTTGTCGTGAGATTAGAAAGTTTGGTAACATCTAGTAAAGCTCATATTTCGGGAAACATTTCTGTTATTGTCAAATTTTTTTTCGAATTGTGTCCGCCCTACTAATTTACTAACAACACGTTCCTATTTAAGCAGTTTTGATTTAATTTGTCATTTCATTTAGTTACAAGAAGAGAATTTCTAACATTAAATAAAAAAACTAATTTTTGTCATTTTCTGTGTCACATATATATTTTACAGACGACCACCAATCGCTATTTTATTAATAATATTACTTGTGTAAATTTGATTAAGGTTGTGCAGACCCATTTTTTACTCAGGTTTATGAGCATGAAAATATTTTCATTCTATATTACAGATGTAGTACTAAAACCTTCGGATCGGGCAAACTCACTATTAGAACAACTACTTGATTCAAAGTCAAATCGTATGTTACAAAGCATAAATCCAACGGTGGAGACTATTCCGACTCGTAATTCCTATTCCCCATCAGCCCCGAAGGCCGAAAATGGGACGGGACCGAAAATGACTCCAAATGGAGTTATAAAACATTCCAGCGAAATTCCACCTCCAAAAACAAAAATTTGTGATCAAAAATCACCTGTACCCTCGTTGGATTTAAAGCAAAATGGGAATGTGCGGCGACGATCAAGTAAAGACATACTAAATGGAGAAGTAGCAAAGTATGACAACAAAATAACGCCAAGGGAGAATGGACTACCACCTGGTATTAAAAGAACATCTCGTACAGTTTTCCCAGGAAAAATGGAAATATTGCCGGAGTCAGACAGTGACAGTGAAAAGGACTTGTGTCGCTTCGAACGAAAGAGACATAGTCACCGAAAATCGATGTCGAAGTCTTCAAAATCCAAGAATTCAACCGACGCTGACGAAGCTGCGAAAGGGTTGGATAGACAATCAAGTTTACATGCTGCAGCAAACGGACTTGATGATGGTACTTCCGCTATAGAGGAAAGAATCAGTGGAGAGTACGAAAGCTCAAAGGACGAAGCCCCGAAGAAGGTGAATGCAGTTTGTTGGTTCATCGGGCGCTTCCGCCGAAGTATGTGCCCCAAGATGGTGCACAACCTGAACCCCAACTTGGTACAACTACTATGTTCAGGTTGTTCACCATCTTGGTGCACATACTTCTGAAGGAACGATGTTTCGAGCCAACTCGATAGTTATTGTTACTCGGTAAACACGACCATGATATTGCCAATAAAAATACCTCAAAAACTGCTAGCCTGTTAGACTTAAGAGGTTCGGTCACACTTGTCCTATAACGCATCGCCATATGTGGAAGTTTTTATAAGATCACTAAAGCCAGCGGTGGGACTCTTTGTGCCTCAGTTGCTCGCCACCCCTTTTACGGATGTTTGAACCCATAATAACCCTAACCCATGGATTTCAGCACCCTCATATAAATTGAACCCGCGAATATACGGGTGCAAATGTATGGGTTCAAATGTACGTGGGTTCAAATGTACGGTCACCGTCTATCTGAAATGCAGCATGTTTTACTTCGTCACCCTATTTTTATTTTATTCTAACAGGAAACACCAAGGTACATGACGACTATATGCCGAAATCATGACGGTCGGAACTCGGGTGAAAAGTTGGATGCTGTTTTGTTTTGTCGGATTTGTGTTCAAGCTGTCTGTTACAAATGTGCCTTCGAACGACATAAGGAACATGATGTTATACCGCTAGCGTCAGCTGTTAATTTAATAAGGGTAAGAAAGAAAATAGTAGAAACTAAAATATAGATTTGCGAGTAGTTTCAAGCCGACTGAGATACAATTTTAAAGTTTGTTGCCGAGCAAATAAGTATATGATTATTTTAATTTGTTAATTTTATTACATTGTTTATAAAAGAGCGTATATTGGTAAGCTCAGTACTTGCGTTGTCTAGCATCGGTGTTGACTTTTATTTAAATATCTTCAAGTATAGTTAAGCTCATGTATTCTGAACGGGGCTATATTTTAACACTCAATGCCATTTGAGTTTCAGCAATTGATTATACGACTTTTTTATTGTATAATCAGTAAGCGAGTCTAAAATCTTTTATAATCAATCAATTGTCATTTTGTTGTTGTTTTCAGAATTAGACAAAAATGGTGGCATTTTTTCCTGGCACAAAAGTATTTCAACTGAGTTAGGCTTTAACAAATAAGCTACTTTTATTTATAATTCATATTTGGGTTCAAATGATTTTGAATATTCAGCTTATGATGTCCTTACTTTCAGGTAAAAATGGCGGAACAGAAGCGAGCAATCGAAGGAAGCATTTCCCAAATGAGAGGGCGAAGGAAAAAGATGGAGGTAAATCACAAATAATGTTCTATGTCCGCTGGTACTCCCATAGTATGTGTACCAGGTTAGGATAAATTTAATTCGGATGTTCCTTATTTTAGTTCTATTACGAGGTCGGGGACTGTCTGTGTTAGCCGAGTGAATATACCCCCTGCCCATAGGTTTCAGTCCCTTTACACAACTTGATGTAAAGTAGGCGAACAAAATTAGTTACCTCCATATTGGTACACATACTTCTGAAGCGCCATTTCTATTTAAACTTCAAACATTTTTTGTTATGATAGTGGTCATTATTTAAAATAAATACACACGATAGCAATTCATTGATTTTCCGCCTCTAACAACTTGTCAATTGGTCAGTAGTTGAGCATCAAGTGGGGTTAAGTAATTGAAGCCACACGCTCTCATCGCGCTAACGGGTACAATGTAAACACAATGTGTTTTTATTCATGACATCGGAAAATATCAAAAGTATTGTAATTGCAGTTATTTTACGGGATAATAGACTTGTAACCCATTGCTCCTAGGGTTTTGTAGGGGAATTTTCCTGTTTTTCTTCCTCGCTACCATTTGACTAAAAATTTCCCCTAGCGCTCATTATTAGCTTATTATTATTGCTATAATATTGCTGATTTGGGTACAATTGTCTTAAACAAGGCTACGAACATGCAGCTTAATTTGTACTTTCTCGGTTTACCCTGTATTCACTCGTTTTGTGATATTATCCCTTGGCCCAACGTTTTCGTGCTGCTCTCTCAATTTTAACGGTCACTTCAGGTTTAAAAATATGCTATAAGTTATTATAAACGGAAATTTATAGGAAGGGAGCTTTTTTCACGAAGTTCAAACATATTTGAATAAAATGAATGCTTTCAATGTAGCCAAAGTCGTTAAAATATTCACATTATCAGATAGTTTTAGCAACTATCAATTACCATAGTTTTTCTCAATTTCTAACCACTTATATCGCATTCCCACTTTAGTCAAACTCGGAAGAAGTTAGAAAGAAAATCAAAAGTCAATTTGAAAAAGTTATCGACAGACTTCACGAGAAGGAAGACGAAATCATGTCCGCCCTTGACAAAGCAAGACAAGATAGACTCGGATCATTGTATCGTCTTCAATCTCGCCAGGAAACATGTTGGGGACAAATTGATGCAGTTTTGAAGACAGCAGATGATGTGAAAATGTTTGAAGTAAGACATTCATTGGAAAGTTTCTCAGATTCTAACGTTTTTATACATCTTTCAGTCCAAACAAAGCTTTGTACAGGCAGCCAACGCTAAACTCGACTTGCAATGCCAACATATTGCTAAGTCCAACATTTTGGGACCGGACTACTCACTGAAATTTTATACAAAAAGAAATTTACCGCTCTTTCAGAAACACGGTAGCATACTTAAACTTTAATCCGTCCCCTTCTTCAATCACTCATTAGAGTTCATCATAATTTACTCTATTCTTATGCTTTTCACTCTGAACAATGCCGTGTACAAGTAGCCACTGTTTGGCGTATAGCTAATAGTGTGTGTATTTCATAATTAATTGAAATATTGCATTTTCGGAGTTGTATCATGTCGTATAATGAGTAACATAATATATACAAATGAATTCTAGGATTAGGATGGAATTTTCATATTTTTCCCGGGAAGAGAAAAGCCTATAAGATTAACTTAACCTAATCAACGGCGAGTAGATTGCTAGATTTCTCGTCGGCGGTAGGTGGTTCCACCTACACAGTGTAAGTCAATACATATGGGCACGATTGTCGGTTGACTATTTTGTTCCGATTTGCCATATTTAAGCGTTACTGGCTATCCGCTCATGGCTTCCTCCAACATCAACCCCAGTACATATCGTCACGCTAATAACCGAATTGCGTAAGTCATTTTTGGCGATTTTAATTTTTTTATAAAATAGGTATTTATGTAATGCTGCGCACCTGTCTATTAACTCAGATTTTATTTTAGGAATTCCGAAACCCATAAAAATGGAGATTTAGTATGACATGCACATTTGTGCAATTCTTTCGTCATAATGAATTATCCTTGTTACCGCAGTACTATTGTGACGTCACAAAGGCAAAATAACCTCGGCAAAGTATTTTCGAGTTTTTGCATCTCGGATTCTAGCTTAGCGCGTATTAATTTGAATTTATACTACAGTATAGGAAGACGTACACTTGTGATATTCACTGTCCGAGTCAAATTTACCTTGGTTGGCTTTTATATTGGGTGCATTGCTGTTTTATTCTTTATATTTAATCTTAGTCCTATTTCGGTGGGTGTGCGGAACGTGTTATATTGATGAAATATATATTTTTAAACATAAAAAATGATTTAATTGAAACTGATTAGCTATTTTGGGGATTAGACATTGTAGATACTGAGAATTACATTCGTTTTTGGAATGTTTAGTTTTCATGACTCGTGCATATAGTGAAGTTGCAAATTGCGTATGTCACCAAGTCATAGACACATTTCTGCCTAAGTCACAGTGCGCCATTATGACGTCACTTAACTGCGTCATACAAATTAACCCAAATCCGGCTACGATCAAAAAATTGAACCATGACAAACTATTGACTCTCAATTGCATAACAAAATCATTAGGAAGTTTTTTACGTTTTTCTCAAAACTGCTAAAAATGACTTACGCAATTCGGTTATTAGCGTGACGATATATATATGGATACAATTACCGGTTTTGCGAATTATTAAGCTATCTTATTAGCTTTCTCTCCCCATGATCAATATGAAAAGTATTGATTGACTCTTCACACCTGTGTTACCAGATTTAAAGAAGAAAGTGAACGCATTTTATAGAATACAGAAACTATTATTTCAATTTTTGTTTACAGGAATTTTCGTCGCTCAGTCCAGATACCATGTAAGTGTGTTTTGTTTTTATAGGTGAATGAAATAAGAAAATTCACGTTCAGTATTTGTTACTGAATTTAGTTGCCATGACGAAGCGTACTTTTTTATTTGACAGTTAAACGTTGCTCTGCGGAGTCAAATAAATGTTATACACCATTTTAACTATGCTTATAAGCATATCTTCATGTCAAACATTTAGGGAAAAAACGAGTAATAAGAGACTTTCAGCTGTTTCAGTTGTGATTGTTTTTAAACAAAAGTCATTTTGAGTTGGACGCGATGGCATAGTAGTGTATTATGTAGGCATTGTAGGGTAAAAATTTCTGGTTTAAATTCTGTTCCCAGCCGTTATTAAATTAATAAATTTGGAAGGCAATGTCGACCAGAAAGTTTCCCGTCTTTCCAAACGGTAAAGTGGCTTTTTATCCAGCGCGGCGCGGAGAGTAAAGTAAAGGGTATATAAAACATTGTATTAAAATATAATTTCTTTGCGCTTGCGATTGGGTGTCTGTGGGACCGAATATATTTATCCTTTTTCTATACTTTGCGGCGCTGGTCCAGTATGCATATAATGTAAGGGTGCTGTAGCAAAAGTGAAGAATACTATCCCAAGTAAGTCAAGTGTCTTGCTGCAAGATTACGTGTTTAGCAAGACTCTTGAATCACTTATAATTATCTTGATAGCAATACTTCGAATCCTGTGCAAAGGCTGTGTAAAATGCGGCTATACCAGTAGCACGTAATAGATTTGTAATCTTTTGTTAATCAAGCATAAGTTTAATTAAAGGTTGATGGTTGACTGCACATCCCCACGGAAAGAGTTTTAAATCCCAGTCAGTGTGAAAACAATGGGTTTATATTAACCATGGAGTGGTATTTCTTTAAACAGAAAGTAGGGAATGTTTACGACTTGTATTGAACAAATAGCTCAGCCATGATTGGTCAGCTATAAACTAGATTTGATATCCACGATTAGGCAGGTTTTATTTTTGCCCAAGTCGTAATTTCAGTCGCATAAGGGATGGTTACTATAGAAGGATCATCGTGCGTTAGATGGGGCTTTAGTTACGAAATTCCACTTGATTTCTTCTCAAGAAGTCTCAAAAGCCCTTTATCGTTCTTGCGGAAACTTCATGCCTTTCTGGCCAAAAAAGAAATTGAAGTCAAAACAGTCGGTGGGATACGAAAACAATAGATCTTGAAACCGATGTATTGTGGAAAACAAAATAAACGCGACACGTAAGAGTGACTTATCACCTCACAATACCTTTCTAGTTATCAGAGTGCGTGACATTGACTTATGGATATACTAATTAAAAATGTACATTTTTTGAAGAAAAATTTCGCGATGCCATATTTCGCTTCTGTGAATATAATATCGTAACGTGAACAATTTTCCATGCATTTTTTCTACTAGTAAGTGTCTTCCATGCGACTTAACGTAAAAATATTACTTATAAAAAGAGTCACGAACGACTGTGGCTCCGTGAGCCACCTATCGATTTATTTAAGGCGATAGAGATAAAAGTGAAAACTGACTGACGCAAAAGTTTAAACAATTCAGTTCGGAAATTTCATGAAAACAAGTAAAATTTCGCCTAGCGAAAATTTAAGTAAATACTTTTAGTATAAAATGGGGGTGCTCCCGAAGTATGCGAACCAAAATGGCGGACATCGGAACGTAACATGGGTAACAGGTTAGGGTTAGGCGATAATTTTTTTCCAATTTTCCTTATTTTAGTCCTATTATCAGTTCGAAAACTAGCCAAGAGCCTCCCGTAGTATTTATACCTAAAATTATGGCCTAACCCTAAAGTAGTACACATATTACATTCCGATGTCCGCCATCTTGGTTCGCATACTTCGGCAGCCCCAAAATGGGTTCTTAAATTTAACAGGGTTCTTAATTACAATTTATGACACATAATTTTATTTTATTTTTTGTATTTCAAAAGGGGGAGAGGAGTGGTTTCCGTCCCGCAACCCCCGGATTACGTCCCTGCCGAGGGTTTAATAAATTGTCCAGCCAATACGTTGTACAGAGACTTGAAAAGAGTTTAAAAAACGTATTATACACCCAATATAATATCTACCTGAAAAAGAGGCCCAATAAAACAATAGTACTCACAAAATCGTTGTTTTTGATTTTTTACGTTCTACGGAGTATATCATACATTCAAATTTCTATGACTATTTTTGCTTCTCTCGTAGTGTGTGTAACAGGTTAAGGTTAGGGCATAATTTTATTCCGATTTTGCTTATTTCAGTTCTATTACGAGTTCGGGGACTGTCTGTGTTAGCCAAGTGAATATACCCCAGCCCATAGGTTTCAGTCCCTTCACACAACTTGATGTACAGTCGGCGAACAAAATTAGTTACCTCCCTATTGGTACACACACTTCTGGAGCGCCCTTGTTTCAGCTTGTTGGTTAGGTTTTCTATTCTCACCTCAAATAATATAATAATTTTTTATTTCATCAGAAATCTCGGTCCCGGGTCACCGGCATCTCACACCTCATGTTTATCACCAGTAATAGTAAGTCCCAGAGTCAGTGTTGACCTGCATAAATTACAAGAAGAAATTGACAAAATCCGTTTGCTCAACGATGAAGATTCGTCCAGTAGTGGAGTTACTCCTGGTGTGAATGCAGCTAATGACTCATCAAGGTGGGTAAATTGATTTCAGTAAAATTACGAAATTATTCAAATTTTTATAGAGAAATTGAACAAAATAACAATCATACATTATTGTAGGACGATATAACCCGCTATGTCCTTAAATAAGGAGAAATAACATTGCATATAACGCTTATTCTGGAATGAGGAAACGCCAAACAAAGACCGCTAATATTTCAACTTTCTAATTTTGACCATGATTTATTCAAATTATGATACGATTATAAAATGTAATCAATCTTCAAGTTGAATTTGCAGCAGTTCAGCAAAACTCAACCGCAACTGATTAATTTCAAACTTCCAACTGCCTCACTTAAATCTGGGTCTTACGAAGGCTCGGTATATCCAACCCACTTTTTCTTGTTGTTCCACGGGCACACCTTCATATGACATTCGGTACAATTCGTCATTTAGCTTAAATTCGCTAGCATTGCGGGTGCCATATCATATATTTAAGCATTTCTGTCTTGTTTATTGGACACGTCGGTGGACATAACAATCGTTTTGCAATTTATGCTGGCACTCTTCTTCTTCTTGGACACGTTTTTAAAAAGTCGCTTTTATCTTTGATTACTGCGCCAATCTCTTTATAATTTTCAGTGCTGCAAGATTAAATTTGTCGCTAGAAGGCTATTACTTTTATTTATTTCAAATATTCCGGTGGGCTGCATGGGATTCGTTTTTTTATTGTGTGTGTGCTGACGTCATCCAAATTTGTCACTGGGTGGCGCTACGTGTCCATTAATTTGATCGTAGCTCTCTTGTTTATACATATCATCGTTTCATCGTTACTAAATTTCCAATCAAATAAATTCTTACAGAAAAAAGAAAAAATTGTGCTTCAAACTGGACGTCACAACTGCCGGAATCGCTCTTCGAATTTCTCCAAATTGTACTATAGTGGAATACGTTGGGTCGGCTAGAAGCTCTGTTGCTCAGAACCAACCAATTCATATTCACCCTCCGACTCACGGTGCAACGATGAACAACTCTCATCCTTATCCCGGTGTTGCTGCGATGCGTCTTCGTCGCACACAGTTTGCAACCGTCCTATCCGACACTTCCATAACTCAGGTAAAATAGATTAAAGTTTTAGGACAAGCCCAGCGTTCGGAGATTTTATACAACTCGTTTGAATACGATTTGCCAGGCGTAATATCACCAAGAATCCATTTGGAAAACTGAATAAAAGTACTAAATTCTTGTTCGATCGATTGAGTGCCAATGATTCTTCATTGTTATTAATGTGGGTGCCTATCCTACTTCATTGCTTTTTATACAAGCTAAAGCAAGGAACCGAACTTCCAACTAAAAGTGGAGATAATAGTTGGTAAAACAATCGCAATCGCACACTGACGTGCTACAGGCCATTACATTTGATTTTTTTGTGCGATAGGGATTCAATTGATAGCATTGGCACATTACTTCAAAGATATTCAAGTTGACGATTAAAATAGCTCATAGTATGACATCCCATATTTTTGAATTAAACTCTGTTTGTAACAATTGTCACGGTGGTGTCCGTTTTAATGTTGTTTCAATGTTTTTTTATGTTTATATAATAATATTCTGACCCCATGTTTGATGCGCTTATTATAAGACTCCGACCTCTCATTACACCTGCGGGAGAACTATATTTATCGCTGTCTTCCTCGGTCCTTGGGTTGGAGGTCGACCGCTTTTTAGTTGTTCCTGATGCTTGTGCTATTCGAAGTGTCGACTTGTTCTTTTCAATAAATAACCAATCCGGCATCCTTCTGATCTGACAACCACATTAGCAAAAACTAAACTGAGACACAAAATAATAGGAAAGCTATTGTTTTGTATATTTCAGGGAAAACAATATTGGGAAGTGTCCGTGAATCGCAGTATGGAGTACAGACTGGGAGTTGGTTATAAACATATGCAAGGCACCAAGACATTGGCCGACGAGCACAACAGCTGGGCATTGTGCCTCACATACCCCGACAGGTTAGTTGTTCCAACCCAGGCTGACCTTTGCTATTGCGAGGTCCTGTGCTAAATGGGTTGCAGAGGCCAACAAATAAGGATACGTAGTATGTGTACCAGGTTAGGGTTAGTTAGGCTATAATTTTATTTCGATCTTCCTTATTTTAGTGGTATTACGAGTTTGGGGACTGTCTGCGTTAGTCAAGTGAATATACCCCCTGCCTATAGGTTTCAGTCCCTTTACACAACTTGATGTAAAGAAGGCGAACAAAATTAGTTACTTCCATATTGGTACACACCTTTCTGAAGCGTCCGTTTTTCTATAGTCACTTCAATAATTTCACATTTTTATCTTAAGGTTTTCAGCAATGCATAAAGGACGAAAGGAATACATCTTTGTTGCAAGTCACATCGCTAACAGCTCAAAAATCATGAGAATTGGACTCTTTCTAGACTATGAAAAAGGAATTTTATCGTTTTACAACTCAAGTAATCCAGCCGAAAAAAGACATTTATATACTTTTCGAACGTTTTTTAATCGACCTGTTTGGCCCTTGATATCATTAAGACAAGGGAAACTACAAATTATAACGGGACTACCAATACCAAAAAATCTTGTATGGAAAACAAGATGAGACTTTGTGCTTCATGTTGAATGAAAATGATCTTTATTAGTAAACACAGGGTCTCTTTCGACGATGAATAATATGCGTGACGAAATTCGTGTCAAATTAGGGCGATCCAGAAGTATGTGTACCAATATGGAGGTAACTAATTTTGTTCGCCAACTTTACATCAAGTTGTGTAAAAGGACTGAAACCTATGGGCAGGGTGTATATTCACTTGGCTAACACAAGCAGTCCACAAACTCGTAATAGAACTAAAATAAGGAAAACCGAATTAAAATATAGTCTAACCCTAACCTGGTACACATACTATGTTCAGGTGTCCGCCATCTTGTTGCACATACTACAGGAGCGCATTTTATTCGTATACAAAGGGTTGCTTTCGCCGATGAATTTAAAATCGTAACATAAAAAAAATGTGTCCAATTGGAAGTTTTTTGCGATCAAATAAAAATATTGACTGCCAAACAAACATTAACCGTTTTTTGCATACAATAGGGCGATTGTGCATACTTCTAAATCTAATATATCTAACAGAGACAAATTATTTATTTGTATTTATTATACCAAAGCACATCATCCCTAATTAAAAGTCGGGTTTATTACAAAGTCTACGTGTCTTAGTTGAGCAAAATCCTATACTTATTTTAACCTAAACGACTGTGATTTCCCAAATTAGGCCTAAAAGTGTTGCGAGGACAACGTATATCTCACACCTAGTTCACAGAGTTATTGATTAGAATTTGACAAAGCGCCATTTGATCAAACAACAACCTCAGATCCAGCTATCTCCGATTGGGATTTTGGTACCTTTCCAATTTCTCTCATTATCAAAACTCCAGACGTAAAACCAATACATAATGGATAAAGTAAGTTATATATAATATTGTGTATTTAATCAAAAAAGTTATATTATTTATGATTTAGAATCTAAAATGGTGCAGAATGATTACAATTTTAAATATGATCACAAAGATAGAATTAATGCCGCATCGGCATTCTTAATTCCCGGGATAAGACCTGTCATATTGATACCATTTTAAAGACTTGGATTGTCTGTATTATCAACGAGAATGTTGGAACCAAAGGATGACTTCCCTAAGTATCAACTTTCTTACCAGTTCCTTAACCTTAGCCAATAAGCAAGATGTCAATGGTGACGTACCGATGGAAATTCTATAAGTCGCTCAGACATTGTTTAAACATTGGCCCGTTTTTGTTGTTTTACTAATTATTGGTCAATTTTTAAGCGGTGCTTTGAATTTTAGGTATAAATCAAACAACTCCATGAATATTCTGTCTTCTGAAAAACTTACTTGAGTTGCGGTAATCACGAGTTAGTTTCGAAAAACATGCGATAAACTAGCCATCAGTGATTTTGAGTGACATTTAAATTGGTAAATATTAGGAATCAAAATGATGGTTACGAACATGTAAACCATGTTGGTAAACGCAAATTCACAAAAACACTCAAAATAGAATAAACATTTTACAATGACAAGCTATAATAGAGAAAACTTTCCTGGAGCCAAGGGTCGCGCAATTCGTCTACAAGAAGCACAAATAGACGTTGCAGTTGTGGGCGAGGCCAATGGTGGGATTCAGCCGGTTCGCACCGGTTCTATAGAACCGTCTCACGGAATTTTATGAGATCATCAAACCGGTTAGCATTACTGGATACTGTCAATGGATTTTTGCACCTTATCTGACACACCGATTTTTAAGATCCAGTAGCTAATGTGTTTTTTTTTCAAAATGTTTACCTTCAGGTTTTAGGTTCATTATCAACGAGCAGCAATGTAGACAATCCCCAACATCATCAAACATTTTGATGGTAATTTTGACATTATGATGCTTAACCATTATTTTGAAATGTTAGTTAGGTATTAAATAAAAATGATCAGTTTATTTGCTAAAAAGATATGTCTTTTTGTAACAGAACCGGCCGAAAAATATGACTTTTGTGATGGAACTGGCTGACAAATCATTTGAATCCCACCAATGGGCGGGGCCAAACTTGGCGAATTAGCAACTAATTATTGAATATAAAAAAAATCAATCAACATGTTACAATACTAGCAGTTATATTATAATTATACAGTGGTAGGGTATAGAGAAAATTTTTCGGAGGCCGAAGCTCGCGGAATTCGCCTACAAAAAGCACAAATAGACGTTGCAGTTGTGGGCGGGGCCTGACTCGGCGAATTATCAATAAATCATTAAATATAGATACATCAATCAACACGTTACAATTATAGCAGTTATATTATGATTAATTTATATAATAAAAATTTAAATAAAAATTTCGTCTTAGACGATGCTTTTTAAAAGCTCTTCACAGTTTTATGCAAATGCTTTTACCCCAACAAAGGAAGGTGTTGCTTTTTAAAAAACAAGGCAATTAGGCAACATGTCCTTTTACGGTATAAAAGCATAAAGAAGAAGATAAAATGCTGTGACTAGTTCGGTATCATCTATCGGTACTTTGAAACTCGCGAAAGCACTCCAAAAGTAGCGTATTTTTTTGCAAGGGTCAGGTAAAGGGAAACCTTCCTGGGGTCAAGGGTCGTGGAAATTAGCGCTAAAGTTTTAAAGTATTTCAAGTTCAACTTATTACAATATTAGTAATCGTATTGTCTACAAATTGTCTATGAGCAGCAGCTTGAACAGGCGTGACCGCAAGCGCACAGAATAGTAGACTGCAAATAAAACGTTTCAACAATACAGGGAACAATATAGATCAAGGAAATAATTTGTTGAAATAGGGGACGATAAACAAGATTTTCATCAACGACAAGCATACACAATTAAAAAGTGAAAGTGCTGAGATAGACTAGTTCGATATCATCTATCGGTACTTTCAATCTCGAAAAAGCACTCCAAAAGCTGCGTAATTTTTTTGCAATAGTAAGGTTAAGGGAAAACCTTCTTGGGGTCAAGGGTCATGGAAATTTACAACAAGCAGCACAAATCGGTGTGGCCGTTGTAAAATTAGGTAAAGTCCTGAAAAGCTCAACATATTACGATATTAGTATTTATATCGTAGTCAGTTTTTATATTAGAAACTAAAAATAAATGTTTAAATTTTGTCTTAAGACGATGTTTTTTACAGTTCACAAAAAGCAATTCCAGCAGAGGCTTCACCTCAATAAATGAAAGTCAGGTATGCTCATACGATATAAGAACATATACAAAATGAAAAAAAAAACTGCTGCAATGAAATAGCTCGATATTTGATATCGATACTTTCAAACCTAAAAAAGCACTACAAAAAAGGAGTAAATTTTTTTGCAATAGTAAGGTAAATGAAAAAACTCTCTGGGGTCAAAGGTCGTGGAAATTTACAACCAGCAGCACAAATTGGCGAGGCCGTTGTAAAATTGAGTAATAGGCAAAATAATGCTAAAGTTTTAAAAAGCTGAACATATTACAATATTAGTAATTATATTATTCTCAATTTTTATATTAGCAACTAAAAATAAAAGTTTGATTTTTGTTTTAGATTAGACGATGTTTGTTACAAGCTCTTTACAGTTCACGAGAAGCAATTTCAGCAAAAGCTTCACTTTAATAAATGAAATCACGTATATTTATACGGTTTGAGATCAACAGCCTGGTATTAGCAAAAGCTCTGAAAAATAACGTAAAATATTTTTTTCAATAGTAAGGTGAAGAAAAACATTTCTGGGAGTGAAAATTGTCTAGCTAGCTAGCAGCAGCTTAAACAGGCATAAGGCATACAAAATGGAAGACTGCATGTGAAACATCTCAAAAATGCAAGGAACAGTAAAGTTTAAGGATAAAACATTTTGCTGAAACAGGCGGCGAGAAACAAGTATATCATCAGAATTCTAGTCTGGGAGGCTTGAACGCGATCGGAAGATGAAGTTGCCGTTCCATTGTTTCCTTCCGTGCTAGTCACCACTGAAAAATGAATCAGATTTCAACGCTGATAGTAGTTTTAGAAAAAACAGAATCTCGGGCTTATGATACATAGTATCTCGCAGTTATACACAGTGGATTTGAAGAAACTCCGAGCACTTAATTAGCCGAATACGGTTTCTGATCCGGGCTAATGGTTTACCAAAATTTAGACTCCGAAGTAGGTTTAAAATAACCTATCCCTTTAATTACTAGTGAAAGAATAGCCCATTTAGCGGTTGAAAGTTTACAATCGACTTTGTTAAATATAAAGCTCCGACTCCACAACGGGGTTAGATGAATTTCGAGAGAAGTCAACTTCGACCTCGAGTCAATGGCCGCAAAAATGCTAGACTTCAACTCAAAAGCACCAACAGGCGGCCACTACTAATTGTTCGAAAGCACCGGCATCTTTCTGTCTCGGTGGTGTGTTTCAACCCAAGATTTCAGAGTATGATGTCATAATAGTTGTGTTTAAAACTTTAATAAGTAGCCCACCGCATCCACACAGTGTCTGCGTGTAATTAATCCTCACGTAGTATACATAGCTTGTCGATGGTCAACACTTATCAATCTCTCATAATATTTCAATCAAGTGGTTCCCAAACCTTTTAAGCCACGCACCTTTTAAGAATTATTTAAGTCTCGCGCCCCACCTTGAAAATAACTAGCTAACAATAAGCTACAAATAACAGATTGTAAGTCGGCAGTATGTTTTATTCGAAAAACGTAAATTTGTCACAACAACATTTTCTAAACAATAAAGAAATGTAAATATCCTAAGGCGGGCAAGATCAAATCTAACAAATATTTTCAATTTTAATTAGCCCCCCGAAGAATTGTATACGTCTTGCTTGTAGGGCGCGCCCCGTCGTTTGGGAACCACTAGTTAAATCAAATGCGACTCGTAATCAGCAAACTCGAATTCATGTATTAAAGACAATCAAGCTTTAATCTTAGGTTAAGTTACTTGTAGTATTTGAAGTTGGAACCGTCTCAATCAATTGTGTTGTCGAGTAAATTGCAGTTATACCATCGTGGGTTGTATCACCTAGTTTACCAGTAGTGACGATATTTTCTGCACCTGTATTTTAGTATTGCCCACTCATTTATGACTACCCAGGTTTGTCATGGATATAGTCCATTAATATAAATATTGTATGAATTCAGAAGTGAATCAAATCTTTCTTTAACTTTTGAAAATATGAAGTGTAGGGAAATCTGAGACTCAAAGTCAGAAAGTCGAATCATTGAAAAAAATTTCCAAACGCATATTTTAAATTTGTACATGTTGAGATGAAAATATTTGTATATATATGGAGGCAATACTTAACGACAATAATCACACGTGAAAGGGCCATATTTCAGCGCAATAAATTGTTCTAACAATGGGTCGAAATATTTTTGAGAAGGTTAAAATACCTCATTAAAATAGAACAAAATTGTCTTACTTGTTGGCGCAATTGTGAAAGGAACATCTCTAGCTGTATTATTGCATAGTTGATCTATACACAGATCCCCTGTCTCACATTGGCTACATGGTGTGCCTTTGATGTATGGTTTGAAAGCACTGCCGCCTGCCAATCTAAAGATATAAAGAATATAGATTTAAGATAGAACAATAGATTCTGAAAGTTTTAAATAATAATAAATATTGTGCTATTATCTGAAAACCTCTTCAAAAAATAAAATGTTTGAATTTTTGTGAGTGTCCATGATTTTATAGCTTGCCAAACTGCGAGAAGCGGTGTTGGTCGTCGAAGTATACCAGATTATTAACATTATTTCAACTTATGTTATAGTGGGGTCTTGGATGGCGTGCCAATTTAATTAAGATTTATCTTTTTGCCCAACTTCGTATCCGATTCCCAACTCCGGCGATTTAAGTTTTGACTCCAGCATCCACTATGGAATCAAGCGAGTTTAAAAAAAAAATTTACTTCGACTACACTTCCCTGACTCTTACAATGATCCGGATAGTACTTTTCGTACTGCGTTTGCTGAATGTTTGCATGTATAATCTGGACCTTAATGACTCGATTTAGGCTTGAGATCGGAGGATTGGCTTAATCTTATCCAAAAGTCGAATTTGACTAACTCTAATTGATTTTAAAGAGAAAAGTTATTCAAATATTGACTCCCAGTTCTGTTTCATAAATGTAGTGCGTGTAGCAGGTTTTAAGGTTAGGCCAGAATTTGATTCCTTTTTCCCCTATTTTAGTTACGAGTTCGGGACTGTCTAGATTAGCCAAGTAAACATACCCCCTGCCCATAGGTTTCAGTCCCTTCACACAATTTGATGTAAAGGAGGCGAACAAAATTAGTTACTTCCATATTGGTATACACACTTCCGGAGCGCCATGAATTTCTTACTTATATATTATCTTCCCATATTGTCAATACGTGATTTGAACTTAGTCTCTGCTATTTTATCAAAAGGTTATAAAGTCATTCGTAGCATATCGTCGCCACTGTATTCGGCTCGTAATTATTGAGAGAAGTTGATTAATTTAGTGCATTTCATAGTAACAGATAAATATACGTCAATTAAACTTACACTTTATTGCCACCAGGTCCATAATTGCAACTGACAAGGCTGGATCCATATCCGCCTCCGATGTTTCTAAATAGAAAATTTAAGTGGGATATTAATCAAGGAAATCGACTACACCCCCACGTTTGTAGTCATATTGACATTACACAACAGCTTCAACCTGAAGAGTCGGGCACAAATCTAGAAATTGGTTCAAAAAGTAAAAAAACACGAGTGAGCGTCGTATTACGTCATAATACAACCCCCCCCCCTTTTCCCTTCAAATTTTGAGCTGGCTACGCTCTTGCGCTACAGTACTAGTTTGAAGTAGATCGGACGCTAATATGGGAATACCTCACGTAATAGTAGCACTGGAAATATACTTTCTTTGTGGACAGGCAAACCCGTTAAAATCAAACGTAACATTTGGAAGTATATGTCCATAAAGTCCTTCACAATTTCAATTTTGTTATGAAGTCAGTTCTAAATATATTTCAACAGGATTTGTTGTTTTTCAAGCAGTAATTGTTTGAGTATTTTCACATCATTTAATACATTTGTGAGAGCCAAAAGAAATATATACATATAAATGAAATGTCAAGAACGGGCGCGTATGATTTGAATAGCTCAAAATCACAGATAAGCATTCTATTACGTAAAACGAAGTTACTAACTTGCATTTTCCTATCGCACATCCAACCTTGTATGTTTCTGCCCAAACGATTTGAGTGTAATGCCCACATTGTTGTCCAGACTGACAACTAGCGGTTACATAGTTATAGTACTTGATCTAAAAATAAAAATAAGTACATTATATCGAATCCAAAAAAACAATTTCTTTAATACACTTTTGTCCTCTCACAATGGTACACTGGGAGACAGCCTCAGAACTTGCTCCATGGTTACCGGGATTGTCAATGCTAGTGAGATTTTTCAGAACTTTAAAAAAATAAATTGATCAATTAAATCCCGAATATATCAAAATGCCAAGTATTGAAACCCCCAACCTTTGTCATTGAATCAGCCAGCCTGCTGTACCTGTACATACAGTGGATTTATTGGCGCGTTGTGAGGTCAGAGTTCAATACGAAAACCCTTCGTTCCGAGATCGATGTCGATAAATAAAATTAACAAATACTAAAGGTTTCGTTAACTCAAAACGAAATGATCATTAATTAATTATTAACTATGATATCGGAAATGCAGTAAGAAGTAGCAGTACAGGCTGACCATACCTTTACAATTTCAATTCCGTTATGAAGTCAGTTCTAAATATATCTTAACCAGGTTTGTTGTTTTATCAGTAATTGTTCAAGCATTTGTTCCTAATTTAATACATCTGTGAGGGCCAAACAGTATATGGTATCGATAAAATGCCCTTTGCATTTGAAATTTTTTAAGACTTCATGGACACCCTATATATCATCTACTCAGTGTCACCTAAAAAATAAGCGTACATTACCTCGTCATACCAAAGTTTCACTATTCCGTTTTTTCCCATCATTTCATTAAAATAATATGCTTCTCCAGCATAAAGATTTTCCCCGATGTATGAAAAAACGCTTGTTCTTAGATCACTGGAAACAGTATGCTGGACATTGCATGTTCTGTGGTTGAAAATATAAAGTATAGTAGTTTGAAAACTCTTGGATTCATACTTTTGTAATAAGGTATTAGAACTATGGGTGTCGCTGCTCGATAACCAGTTTGGTTCCCCGCGACTTTCTTTCCCCAATAAAACTGTTATCCTTTTGCCGTAATTTATGGCTGTGATATTTTTTACTGGTTGGAAAAAATAAACTTGACTTGAAAAAAGTTTAGAAAAGAAAAAAATGAAACATAACGAAGAAGGGGCGAGTATTTATTTGGGCCAGATTGGTTACCGATATGGGGACCGGTTCCGCACACAAACTCGAACGTCTTTTTCAACGCTTTATTGCTTACTTTTTAAAGATTGACTGAAAGTCCGACGAATTTCAAACTAATGAGATGAATTTTTGCTTGGATATATTCGACAGCGACATAAATCTGTGGAGATCCCCTCTAAGATATCGTTAGTTTGGAGTAAATGGCGCGAGTAGGCGTCATAATAATGATTGATTCACAAATATGCGTAGTACTTTTAATGCGCGCATCGCCATAGCCAAACATTTTGTTGGACTACGGTGCCGTGGTGAAAAATGAGCTTGATTATGCGGGAAATAAAAGCACTTTATCATATTCATTGGCAACAATCATAGTTTGTTGCACGAATGTACACTAAAGTAACATAAATCCTAATATCAAACTTACTTCACTACATCTTCAGCAAAGGCTGCAAGTTCGTCATCCCAGGTCATCAGTCTCATATTTGCGGCTGCAGGATTGCTAACATTCCGGCGGTAATAGTTATGAGAATCGACCCATTGCTGTTTATGAGTCGCCTCCATGGGTGAATGGTATAGAAAATCGGACGCTGAATATACAATAGAATGAAAATCATAACAGGGGGTAATTTTGTATCATCGATGATAAGAATACATTCATTCAGACACATTATATACATTTATAAGATGTATAATTAATAGAAAGAACTCGGCTCGGTGGCTGGCGCATCATGCTAAGCGTTAGGAATACCCTCGCCATCGCACCTCTGACTACCCTGAAATTATGTGCCCGAGCATACTAAGGCCCGCGAGCCAAATGAAGCCCGCAGACAAATCTTCTGTGGCCTCCGAACTACCATTTCCAATGTACAAAAAGTGCTTATAAATATATTATCTGTGGATGTTCCACATATGATTAACTCACGCCGCATCACGTTTAATCGCTTTACTTGATAAATTTCGAGATGACTACTAAATTAAATTCAGATATTCAAGGGTGTGCAACCTCTAATACACGAGGGCCAGATCGCACGTATCACATTAAACTAAATATGATTAGTTTCGCGGGCCATTTGAAATTGGCGCTTCTCCGCGGGCCACACAATTTTTTCTTGTAGGCAGCATTTGGCCCGCGATCCTCACACACTCCTGATGTAAATCATTTTATTAACTTAAAAACAGCTTACCTTCAACGTTTAGTGGAACAAATATTGCCAGGAACAAACTACTCATCAAAATGGCGACATCCATTATTTTGTTATGCTAAATAAATATATACTGTAGCAGTAATTCTGAATTAACATTAACTAAATAGACAAAAGAGAGTCTAAGGCACTCCAGAAGTGTACCAATGCAGCAATATGGAGGTAACTAATTTTACATCAGGTTGTATTGAGGGACTGAAACCTATGGGCAGGGAGTATATTCACTTGGCTAACACAGACAGTCTTCGAACTCGTAATAGAACTAAAATGAGGAAAATCGGAATAAAAATAAGACCTAACCCTAACCTGGTGCACACACTACGGGACTACCCTCCAAAATGCTACGTACGTGACATATCAGTCGGCTACTAAATAGTATTACACATAAAGCGTCTAGATATACCTCAATGTGACGTTATCATAAAAATAAACATCGACTTTAACCACGCGGAAATAGAAGTCATTATGAGTGTGGGAGTTTCATTAGCTGGCTGACATTGCTGCACTTTTGTATTTTCACTCTTGCATATGATTTACATTGAGCTTCCGCGATGCAAAAATAATAAACGTTTCACCATTTCAAGCAAAGATATTATATCAATAACCAAACCCAGAATAGTAATCATGTAAAGTTGCCGCCAAGCTACTGTTTCCCTGACAGTGTAGACAGGCCGCCGTAGGGTGGTTCACGTAAACCAGGGGTCGGCAACCTTTTGTCGCTCGCAGGCCAAGATTAAAGGTTGCAAGTCATTGGCGGGCCGCACATATTTTTAGAATGTTAAAAATCGAATAGATGACCGATGAATCACATTTCATCACCCAGATCAGAAGTTAAATTTTAAGCAGCGCGCGAAGACTGACCATTTGAATATTTTTTGCGCCATTAAACCATTTGCACTTAGCATCAACATTTCTGCGTTTTGTTGTCATTTGTCTAAATAATAATTAGATTATAGGCTCATTGAACGAGTAATTGTGAATTACATACTTGTTACGTTATGATATAATTTAGTCTGCACGTAAATTCTTTTGCGTAAAGAATATAATCGACAAAACAGCTATAATTTGTTACTATAATTCAGTGAAGCGTCGCCGGCCGGATTATATTGCTCCGCGGGCCGTAGGTTGCCGACCCCTGACGTAAACGCTGGTTGGTTACGGCTTCCTCCTGCAAGTCTACGCATCTGAATACAAATAGCTGACTAACTAATCTCAAACACGACATGGACTGGTAACCGAGATGCCGTGGTTTACCACATGATTAAGCGTATATATTATCGGTATTTCTCTACCCTGGATAAATATGTAAATCCTATCTTAAAACTGCTTGAAGTTTTGTGTTAAGAACTACTAATAAGCGTTAGTCCCCGTTAATACGTTGGCGGTGGCTTGCATCACGTTTACCGGTACTGTTTCCGCTTTTACCTGATGGATCGAGATCGTGCTTTGAGGATATTTACATAAATATAGCTCATACAATGCAGCTTGTTTTAGCAAACAAATTGTGTACATAAGTTTGTCCAAACGTGTGCAGGTATTCGTTTCGTTCTACCACTTCAGGTGCGGTCATCGATGCAAAATAAATTACCCGTGTTTGACCTGGTGTCATATATGACGGTGAGTTAATGCCAATTTGGCTTTCATAAGGAAGTTGCGTGATATATATGTATGTGACACTGCACGACGGCGGTGGTCAAATGAGTTTAGGCCCATCTATATTAAAATCGCCTATTACACGTGTCCGTCACCTCATTCTGGGTGTAATAAATTGGGTGAGCAAGGCGAAACCGGTCCTCCACTAAATACAGGGTGGTCGCTAGAAAAACAGAAAATTTGTCGAACAGCTATTTATTTTTACAAAAAATAACTTTTACAAAGTTTTTCAAGGGCATATGTTATATTCCACTTATAGATGCTCAAAAATGTCGTCCGCGCATTTCAGAGCAAATGTGTTATAACCTAGAAGACGACCAAGCGTGTGTGGTGCTTAAAAGGTTAACTTGTGGGATATCGTTCCAATTCAACCTATACTTGTACGCATTTTATAAGTGATCTTCTGACCTTCAAACTACTTTCCGCTTCTCCAGCAACCACTCGGCAGTACCAACTTATATATCGTTGGATGCTTGCACGAGGCCTTGTGTGCTCGAAGCAAAATAACGTGAATATATGAAACTCTCGTTTGACCCATTATTCACTCCACTGACTAATCCAGTATAGTGTTAAATTTCGTATGGGATTTCGGTCACATGACAAATTTTGGTGCTCCAAAAGTATGCGCACCAAGATGTCGCAAAACCTGAATTATAACCGGTACACACATACTATGTTCAGGTTGTGCGCCATCTTGATGCGCATACTTCTGGAGGTCCCAAATTTTATAATGTAATTTTTTATGGATGACTCTTCACGACGGCTGTATAGCATATATAACTTGACAACAAGGTTTGATAATATTTGCGATTTGGCGTCATTCTCTATCACCGACAAACACTTAATTATACAACAAATATTTGTGCTTGGCACGAGTGCAAACACCGAATAAAAAATAAATACCGTATACCAGGTGAAGCGATTAAAGTTAGAAACGTATAAGAAGAATTGTTATAAAGTTTTTACTGTTTTATTTGAACAAGGCTCTAAACATCAATACGAGCAGAATCGTTATTTTTTATTCCTCATATACTTCGTTAAATTATCATTCGTCTTTCTTTCGCAAACTGGTTCCATTACAACGAAATGCGAAGCCGTCCCATAAAGCTCAAGTCTTTGGGCGCGCCAAATTTTAAAAGGCTTTTTACGTGATCCGTGAGCAAAGAGATTTCGTCATGTTGTACATTAACCATCCTCTTCTTTGCAAAAAAACAGACCACACTAATCGTATTCTCAAATTCTGCACCTATTGTTGCGTGCGCCGACTACAACCTGATCTAAGTACATTAGGCATCTCTCTTATTCATAGATGTATCTTTTCATAAAATATGGTTTTTCCGGCGATGTGTTTCTCAAGTTATTTCATATTCTTGTTAATCCCAAAAGAAATATTTTTATCTTCATTTATATATTCACGTTTATTAGTAAACTATTCATGATAGGATGGCGCCAACTACATTCATTGCTCAACCATTGTGTTTTGTCTGATTGGCTAGCGCGATTGCGTCATAGCGTATGAGTTTGTGATAACTTCCGCCCTCAAATAACTATCTGTCGCATGCCTTCAGCCTGTTTGCACGTTCTCATTCTCTTTAATGCTGACAAAAGTCATTTCCTGAATGTCTACATAAAGTAAAATTTTTAGTGGTATAGCTACATTACATCTATCTAAAATCTAAATCTACGGTACATAGCCATCAGACGGACTTGAAGACGCATCTTATTCCGGCACTCACCCAGTCAAGATCTTTCTCAACAAAATTAAATGCGAAACAGTTGAAAATCAAAAAAATATAAATTTTGTTGTGTGATTTTACCAGCTTTTCATATGCTAAGTATTACTGAATGCTGGATACCATTTGTTCTGAGTTTTGTACTCTTTCAGGTCAGTGCGCGGAAGTATGAATGGTGACTTTAACTCATGCCGATGTCAAATTTTTCTCTTATGTCGTCGTATCAATTTCTCCATATAGACCAATTAAAACCTTGAAATTAGACTCGTTTAAATATCTCTAGCTTCCGTCAAGTCAGTATAATCGACCTGAGTGCAGTGAATATTTATTGTCCCAAACGTGAGGCATACGTGATTTATGCGTCGTCTCTCGTTAGGTATCAGGTGAGTCACAAATTCTGTTGCGTAACGCATAACGTCACGACGTTAAGCTGTTGGCTATATTGCTTTACCGAACCTGGTAGTTTAAACTCAGCCGTTCTTTTAAATAGCCGCTTATGACTCGTAGATTAATCTGCGATCGCTGCATAATTGTTGAACTAAATTAGTTGGTATCTGGCAACATTAAACGATTAAATTTTTTTATTATAATTTGAAATGGTATATCGTAATATTCTTTTTATTATTACTGAAAATTCGTTTCAAATAATGCTTTTTTTTCAACTGGGAAAAAGTTATTAACTAACAATTAGATGTAACTTCATAAACTAAAGCAAATATTTTGAATTAAATTTGGCATTTGGTGCAAATTATTATATCTGTTATTAGGCAGAAAGAAATCTGTAAGAGCACAGATTATCCCACGTAATAGTTAGGTGAAGGAATGGTTTATCGTACCAATTGCGCTGCCATGTTTGAAAAAGTGTTTGTATTCGCGTAAAGACTTGTTCTTTACTAATGTGTTCAATTGTTTTCAGTCTGTATTTAAAACGGCCGAGAATTGTGCTCATTTGAACCTAACATTCGCGCAAATAGGTTCATCACATCAGGTGGCCTTTTATCTTTCCGTCGTGCCCATTAAATAAAAAGATTGACATTGTTTAGCCCTGTCTATTGAAAGGTTGAGAAAGTACCGACTTATTCACTTCCTTCGTTTGTTCACGAATATACACAAATGCAAAAATTTGACAATATGCTAAATATAGGGCGGCCAAAAGGTACGGTATCAATTATTAACAAGTAAATATTACTAATAACTGTTTACCTACGTCTGGACCGCCGTGTATGTTCGTGCCATACTATTGGTTTCTGAAATTATGCATTACCAAAAATACAAGGCGGCCCAAAAAAACGGTTTGCACAAAAGTTACCATCTCTCTAAATTAGGGGTTTTCTGCCTTTTTTTTTATCTCGTGACCCACTTTCGTTGCACAAAAAAATCTGCGACCCATTAACTTTCTCACGCATGGGAGAAACTCCAAAAAATACTGAAAATTCTATTCGCAAAGATAGGCACTTCTATATTACCATTTAGTAGCGAAAACAGCATTTTCATACAATCAAATTTAACCAATATATCAATGAGTCTAACAATTTTGAATAGATTTGTGGCTCACCTGAGAATCTTTTTGTGGCCCAACAGGGAGTGGGCCATGGCCCACTAGCTGAGAAACCGTGCTCTAAATTATCTAGAATAGAATATGCTACAAATTACCTGCGTTCTGGTTTTTGGTCACTGTGTACTATATAATCTTATCAACTATTTATAACTACTTATGCGAAGTATTGTGCAGGGTGCGGAGGTG